GTACTAGACTGTACTTCGCCATAACGGTAGCAACAAAATTAAGTCCCGAGATCTAAAAGAACTTTCAGAATCAAATAACTTAACCTTTTAACATTTATTAGTAGTGGCGTGTATTCTCACAAAGGGGATATCAAACACGTTATGGGCTAGGTGAAAAGGCTATTATTTGGTGGCTCAAGTGTTTCGGGTTCTCAAACAATGTGGAACGGATGCATGACATTATGCGAAATTACAGTGAGACACAGACCAATTAGGAGGTACATAACTTCCCTTAAGGTCGGATCAAACTAACCAACACATTGTCCCAACCAATGCGTACCCTTGATGCTTATCAATATAACTAATAATAACTCGTCATTTCCGGTTCCATTCATTCTCCTTTCCCGTTTCTTCTTTGTATTTACGTTTTTTTTTTAGGGAATGACGGGGAATGGAATTGGTGTCTCACAAAATCTACATCAAGAGAAAAGGCCAACAATAACAGCATGTACCCATGAATACAACCTCTAAACCATAATGGCTCATGAAACGTAACTAAAGAGTCGCTAAACACATAATAACCACTAATTAGCGACTAATAAACGTTGTCGCCGAACACTGCGTCGCTAAAATAAATTGTAGCCTAATAGTCGCTAAATAGCGACTATTCTGCGACAACTATTTGAAGTCGCCCATACGTCGCGTATGAGTCGCTAAATTGGCGACTGTTATGCTACTAATATGTCACTATTTGGCGACTGGTTTGGCGACTAATAGGTGACTGCGGAATCGACAAAAAGACACTACAAGGCGACTGTTTATGAATGTTTTAGTGACTGAATTGCTATCGTTTTGCGACTTATTGGAGGTTTATTTATCGATTTTGCCTGCTTATTTTGATTCCAATTACGTTTGCATTTACTAATTAAAACCAAACATACAAAACATACAAGTTCTTAATAAACATAAAAACATACAAGTTCACAAGACCAAAAGTACAAGTCCAAAATATCAAGTTCACAAGACATAAATACAAACATACTTGTACCATAATTACAAGACCAAAAGATCAAGTTCAAGTTTTTGAGTTAAGAGGAGAGAAAGCTAAGTAGCAGGAGTAGTACCATCAGCATTAGCAGCATGAGTTGGATTTGGTTGGACTTCTGAATGATCATCCGCAGCAGGAGTTGATTGGGAATTGAGGAAGGCCAGGAAATTAGGGTCAGTTTCACTCAGGTACTTCTTCACCATCGACAAATGCTTGATCTCAGCTGCTTGTGATGCTCCGACACGCAATGCCTCTGCTTCACGTGCTGCTTGTAGAGCTGCTTGTTCCTCTATCTTGCGGTTAGCATCCTCAAGCTGTGACTGCAGGGTTGTGAAAGAAGAGCTGCTTCCTGCGTACTTGCGCTTCCCGTTGATGTAAACCCCTAAGCTGCCAATTCCAAAGTAATCCCCTCTATCATTTGTGACAGTAGACTGCAAAACAAAGTAAAAACATTAGTGCTTAACAGATAAAAGTAGACTACAGAGCAAAAGACAAGACTACTACCTGAAGAAATATCTCATCATCCTCCTCATGAGACAGCTCAGACTGACGCGAATTACCATCAGACTGTTCATCATTCTCTTGCAGGGCAGCCAACTTAGCTGCCTTGTTCTTGAGATATGCCTGATGGATTTCCTGCGCCTTCCTATCCACAAATGTCCCATCCTTCTTGGTATGAGTTCTGATGAACACTTCTCCAATAGTAGGAGGTCTTCCCAATTCAACTTCCTGAAATATAGTAACAGAGATGTCAGCAAGTAATAAACAAAACAAGTATTTAAAACAGACATGTAACTTACCATCTCTTGCTCCACTTGTAAAAAGGACTTTGGACTAGAAACATGCTTGTGAGGACCAAGACCATTACGGTCAGACATCCTAGCTGCTGATGTGGTTGAACTCTTGGCTTGGGCTTCTTCAGTATCCCAATACTTACACATCTCTCTCCACAGAGTTCTCTCAATCCAATACGGCCTCACTCTTGGGCTTTTTGACCCTTCCTTACTAACCATGTCTTTCATACGCAGTGCAATGATCTTGTAGAACTTGGCTTCAACCACACCTATCACTGAGGGATGCCAGGTGTGTGTTTTCTACCAAAACAAGAGGACAGTGAAGCAGATGTTAGTTATCAAAATACAATATGAAAATACAGTAGTAGAAGAGGGATATAAGCTTACAGCGAATTCAAGAAAGTATCTTCTCTTCTTCCAGTTGGCACACAACTCCAATTGTAGTATGGTCCATCAAACTTGTTAGTAAAACACTTGGTGACCTTCCGGGTCAGCTTACCCTTATCCTTACCAAACCTTCAATCACATAAACAAAACAGTTAGCTATACACAAGAATACAAACAGAAGAATACAACACAAGAATACAAACTATACCTAAACAAACTTACAATCTATACACAAGAATATAAACAGACCTAAACCTCTTCACAAACTATACCTAAACAGAACCATACCTAAACCCTAAACAAGAACCAGAACCATACCTAAACCCTAAACAAGAACCAGAACCATACCTAAACCCTAAACAAGAACCAGAACCTATACACAAATAGACCTAAACCATACCTAAACTTATACACAAACCATACCTTAACACAAACAGACCTAAACCATACCTAATCCTATACACAATTCTAGACAATCCTATACACAATTCTATACAAACAATCCTATAAACATTCAGAATCCTTACCATGTCGTCCAAATCTCTAAAGTCGGAGAGATGAGAGTAGTATAGAGCTCACGGCCTGGGATGAGAAGCGTATCATGTAAAGTCGCGAGGACATCTTCTGGGAGTGTTGAATCCCTCAAACCTTCATCCTCCGATGCAGTTTCATCATCAGCTTCTTCATCTGATGCAGCTTCTTCTTCTTCAACGTTCTGAGCTTGAGAACTGTGACCAGACAGAGAGGCTCTTGGTGGTCGTTGTTGATTAACCACTGGAGAAGGAACCGGCGCTGGAGGCTGAACTGGAGCTGGAGACTGAGAGGCACGGGGAGATCCGGATGCTTAACGATGAACAGAGGAGACAGATGCTCGAAACGGAGTCGTTCCAGAGCCCCGAGGAGATCCACCAGCTGCATGCTGAGATCCTTCGCCCGACTGGAAAAGCTGCAGCGGAGGTGGATAGTCTCTTAGACTCAGTTGCGGTGAAGGCTGGCGATTCGGCGGATGCTCAATCCCATGATTTGGATCTTCAGGGTTCACCGGCGTGAACTCATACTGCGACGGAAGGCTCCTTGGTCTTCGACTCGACACACCGGAAGATGTGGGTCGAGTAGGGACGACAGTGGGTCGCTTCACCGGAGACTTCGGTCCCCTCTTCCCTCTTCCTCTTCCACCGCGAACACGAGGAGCCATCGATTAGACCTAAAAGAAGTAGATTTGTAGAGAATCGGAAAGAAATTGCAGGGTTAGGGTTAGGGTTCGTCGAGAGAGAGAGAATTAGGGATCTAGGGTTAGAGAAATGCGGAATTAGGGTTTCCTCAGTTAGAAATAGGGAATTTATACTATGGGCCAACGCAGTAAATCTAATGGACCGAGACCAATTAAAAGGCCCAATTAGAAATTATAGTCGCTATAAAGTGGCTAATTAGTAGCCCAGTTTAGAGACTAAACATTCAGAAGCTACTTAGTCGCCTAATTTGGCGACTATACAACGACTATTCTTATCTGTCGCCAAATGCAGACGGATTAGCGACTAATGTTGTTTAGGCAACATTCAGTCGCCTAAATGTCGCAATTCAGTCCTCAAATTCAGCGACTAATTTATCAGTCGCTGAATAACATCGCTAATGACGTGTTTTCTTGTAGTCAATCTCATCACATATCAACAACCAGTAAACTACAACTCACTATCCTAACAGAAAGAAAGCTATGTCGGTCCGTGTACTCCATAGTTTTCGCACATGGATGCATATCATGATGATTATATAAGAATGCATGAAGTTTCAAACAATGGGTGGGGGAACAGGTGTGGTACTAGACCAAAAATGAGTCTAGCCATTCAGAGTTAGCAAAGAGTGATATAAATTATGCAAAGAAAACTCTGAATGTATGATCCATTACATGATTCTCAAACCCCTAAGTGAGATAAATTAAGTTCAAGTATATAAGATTAAGCTCAAATCATCCAAATTTCAAAGAGATAGAGACTACTATAGAGCGATCTAGTGATGAATTTTCTTGAACTTTCAAGTTATCCTCGAATAATGCTAAAATGATCCCAAAGCAATAATATCAAGCAAGGTGCAATTCCCTAAGAAAAGATCATGGTTCTCAAACAACATTTTGACTCAATAAAAGACACGATTTTTGAATCGATAAAACATACTCAATGACTCAAAAGAAAGATATCAAAATAACTCAAAGAAACATCAAAAATGCAAACTAGATTAGTAGACAAGTGACAGCCTCCCTCTGACTTGCTTCACACTGACTCGGTGTGAAACAGTTCAAAGGAAAGGTGCCACACAAACGCAAGCAAATCAAAATAAAGAGAAATATAAATGGTATATAACAAGGGAAAAGGGTGAGTTACTATGGTACTCAACGGTGGTGGGTGGGGTTCTCAGTGGAGATCTGCTGATCGCTAGACTGTCTCCTGCTTCTGCCTAGGCGTGGGCCTAGAGAATGCTCGGGTGAAGGTTGTGTGGTCGTAGCTCCACTATGTTCAGCAACAGGGACTAACCTCTCAACAAGTCGATCCTAAGTAGCCTTGGACCGTTTCTCCCGATCTCCATCATCTGAACCTTCTCCGCGAGTACATATACAGGGCTTGATTCGAGATATGGCTCTCCACATTTTGTGCATCATAGTGTTGTTCTTCTTCGTCGATGTTATCATCCATGCTATCTGTCGGGAGATATCATCACCTGCTGGTGGAGGTGAAAGGCGGAAGTGTGTTGGATCCTTAGGGAGCAACTGATATGGTTGGGCATACTCGGCAGGTGCGTAATCATCTGAATCCTCCTGAATCTCATCGTCCTACATAACATGCTCATCTGCAGTCGGAGCATCTGTGAACCTGCGTTGTCTAACGACGCTCGCTGAAGGGTCAGGAACCAGGTACTGCTCATCAGGGTTGAACTCCAAGTTCAAATGAGAAACAAGAGAAGTGATATGTTAGTTGGGTAGCATGCAGAAGTAAGTGAAACCGTCTCGTCCAAGAATGTGTATACATCACCTACCTTGAGGCAATGGGTATGTATCAGGTATGCGATGTCCATAAACTCTTGTGTAAGGTCAGTTTTAACTATGGAGAGGTCTAACCTGCAGCCGATGAAGAGGGGAGTAAGTGCGGTACCAACGTAAAGGCCTCGCGAGGCTGATGTGGGAGCAGTGGTCTTCATCTTGACTAATACGTCACACAAAACTGCAACTACATTAGCATCGGGTGCTGGGAGATCAGTATAGTCGTCTAACATATGCTGGACGTTATAGAACATCATTGGCAACTTAGTCTTTGTCACTGTTGCTATCACTGGTGTGAAGTACAAAGTACTACTGATGATCTTTGCTAAATATCGCACAACCGGATTCCTGATGTGTGTAATATTCGCCTTACGCGACTCGTATGGTCATGTAGCAATCTTGTTCCCAAAGGCATCAATAACCGCAGAAGGAAATTTTGGGAACGCAACAAATTCTCCCTTGGTGAATGATGCGTGTTTTATTTCGCCTCAAAGTTTTTCCTTAGAGACTACACGGAATACTACAAGTGCACAGTTAATCGGATGTAGTATTTAAGGATCGATCCCACAGAGACTTATAAGTACGGTACAAATTTAATAGAAAAGAATATGTCTAAAACAAATTAAAAGAGGGGTTTGGTTTTCTGGTTTTATAACTAACGAAATAAGAAAATAAAAGCAAGCAAACGATTAGGGTTATCAATAAACGAGAAGTTGGGCTTCAGGGATTTCTCAGGGTATCACGGATCGGGTTATTCTAGGGTCTTAAACAAAGGTAAACCTATGCTTTTTAAACAGTTCATGAACTACAAAACAGTTATGTAAAACCATTTGGCTTATGACCAAACAATTATCTAAGTCTAACAACTCCGTTACTAAACTAACGCATGCAAAGACGAGATTAAACCAGCATGATTAACGAGTTCGATTATAGTTTGTAAAGCCCTATAACTAAGTGGTGTGTGCTTGTTATAACACGATACTTACATCTAGGCTAGTGAACGCGGGTTTATACACTTATGATGCATAAAACCACCACCTAAGATCAATTGCAAGTTAGCGATTCAAGCAATATGCATTAAGAACAAATCTAGAACGAAGGACAAAAATTACCTAAATATAGATCTAAGAAACCCTAGAAAACAGATCCATGAATCCCCTTTGAAACCCTTATACCCAACGAATAAACTACTCACACATACTTAAAGAACACAACATAACATGAATAAGAGATTGCATGAAAGAGTATAAGTATAGAAAAAGGGTTTAGAAATCTTCTCTGGAAATACAGAGTTGAGGATTCTTCTTCCTCAAACAAGTAGAGAACATAGATAAGAGATGAAGAGAAAGGTTGGGGTCGAAGACACACCCTAATTAGGGTTCACAACTTGTATTTATAGGCCTCGAGAAGTAACAAGTTGATTTAGAGATTTCTCGGCAAAACTACGTAGTTTCATTAAGTGCAGGGATGAGGTGGCTAAGCTCAGTCATGAGGGTCTGTGACTGTGCTCACCAAGAGGCTCCAGACCGGTCACGTGGGGTTGTGACCGGTCCCAACAAGGGCTTCACCACCGGTCACACTCCTTGTGATCGGTCTTGGACAGGCCGATTTCAATCGGCTGTAACTTATGTTTGGCAGCTGGGATTGAGTTGATTCTTCTTCCATAGTAATTTTGACTCTTCCAGCTTTCCATAGAGTCTAAGATCTCTAAATTTCCTTCAAGGGAAGGCCTCCAATGGACGCCTAACTTCTGGAGATTCAAATTTGTCTTGAAACGGGTTTTGCTCGTCTTTTGGTGTATTTTGCTTAGAAACTTGATATATCACGGATTTTACCGGTTTTAACCATGATTTATGAGTCAGTTTTCGAGTCTTTTTGTTATTTCTAGAGTCTTTTTGAGTCTTTTCAGGTTTTTATACGTTCGGGACCAATTTGGGGATTATGGATCATTCTGGAGCAAAACCGAGAAGTTATGCTGCGCGAGCAATCCGGAGACAAAAATACGTGCAAGTGTCGATCGACACCACTCCTGGTGTCGGTCGACACCAAGATCTGACGGCAATTCAATTTCGCGAGTGTTTGAAGTTATGAAGATTTGCAGAATCGTCCCAGAAGTTTTCCCTATTTACAAAGAAGTCCCTGCACGTTTTTAAGAACATATATATAGATTTTTAAGGTCATTGTTTAGACCTAACCTTTATTTTACTTTGTTCTTGGGAGCTTGAACCCTTTGGGAGATAATTGGAGAGAGCTCCTCCAGAGAAGATTTCTTAAACTCTTTTACTTCTTCTCTTGATTTCTTAATGCTTTCTATTCATAACATGTTGTTTGTTTCATTCTCCATGTCTGAGTAGTTTGCTTGTTAGGTTTAGGGATTCTCATTGGAGATTTAGATGAACTAGTAAATCGATTACCTGTTAGGATTAATCCATAAAGTTCTTCATCTAGGTTGTTCTTAATGCTAGTTCTAGCTTGATCACCTAGAATTTGATCATAGGATATAGGTATTTGATCCGAGAGGGCACTTGTTACTGGAACTACCTTAGATGAGCCTGGTTTATAGGTGTGTAATAAGAATCGGCCTATATACTAAGGTGAACATATCAAACCTGAATTTAATGCTAGTCTAGATCTAGGAATTCGCATCGAGAGGTGGAATTACTGATATTAGATTAGTTAGTTAGCGCATCGAGAGGTGGTTAGCTATTCATTAGTGTTTTGAGTTCTAGAACGGTTCGTTAAATAATCCTAATTAATTTGCTAGATTTACTATTAGTTTATTTCTTGAGAAATCTCTAAGCCTAACGTTTTCCTCATCTGTTTTAAAACCCGAATTTAATTGCTTTCTTTTATTTTAAATATTTATATTTTCTGTTTAGCTTAATTCGAAACTTGTTAGTCTATTGTGTGAACACAAGAGCTATGTGGAATTCGACCCTAAAGTGCTACACACGATCTCTTATTTGAGAGAGTAGTCTTAGGCCTTAATTTGACTCATATTAAAACTCCTAAAACCTTATTGACTCCATAAATACTTGAATATCTCCTCTTTGGCCTTGAAACCACACCAAACACTTCCTAAAACATAAGAAAACAATAACAAATATGGACGAAAATCCCATGTTATTAGTGAATCCATATATGTCGCAGATCTCGAACAAGGTTTTGTTGTAGTGCTTTTTATCGAGGAATAATGTGAGTGTCCCTTCACTCACTTTTGGCTGCTTCGGATTCTTGTATGTGAGGCGACAGGTAGCTATGTACTCTCTCACAAGCTTAGGGTACACGTGATGCTCCAATCTCCACAATCTCCCCATGCCAAGCGTCTTCAACATAGTTGCAACATCATCAATAAATCCAAGCATAGTAAGCGTGTTCTGGCAAGCAACTCGTGTTGGCAAGACGTGAATTGGGTGTCATATTTATCCCATACACCCGTGACAGGATGTTTGTTAGGATCTTCTTGCGGTGCAGCTTTGGAAGTACTCGTGCGTTGCTTAAAAGTTCTTGCAGCGTCGTTCGTTCATCCCATACTTTTCAAAAAATACAAATTGAGTGGAGTCAAAAAATCCCTCGAAAACAAATTAAAGAGCTTAATCATTATATTCTAGTTGTTAAAACTAAACAATAAATCATATTCATCAAGTTAAAAGCTCTAAAATTTGCTTTTCCTCAAAATTTAAGATCATGTCCGTTTTTCACCTTGAAGGAATTAGAGATTTTTCACCTTAAAAAACGGAACCTAAAAGAGGGATTTCGAACTCATACCTTTGCATATCGAGAAAACAAACACTAGATATGGAAAAAAGGAGGAAAAATCGAGTGGGATAGACACCAAAATTGTTGAAATCAACTAACACTTGAGAAAGTTAGGGATTTAAGAAAACTTGATGTTCTTGAGGCTACACGAAGAAGAAGAAGTGATGCTCGTGAATGGGAGAGAAAGGGCTCGATCCGTATTTTGTTCGTGGTCGATTCGGTTCCGTTCGGTTCGAATCAAGTTGTTTCGGTTTAATCCAATTTTCGGTTAAGAGAAAAACGAAGAAGGGATCGGTTTACCTGGGATCGATCGATCCGGCCTGGGATCCGGCCTACCTATGGAGTAGAGAACATCATTGTTTGGTATCTATTAATTTGGAAAATAACAATTTTCTGGTCCACAATGAGTTGGGACCTATAAGCGACAGTTTCACCATGAAATCCATTTCCTATTCCGGACACGAGTTTCCGGGTCCATATCCCCTTACTATTAAAAGGGAAGTACAAATTGAAAAATGGTCTAATTTGGCCTCAATTTCAATTTCAATTTTGGATTTTGTACATTGTTAATCAAAATCGTCAAGGGTAAATTAGGGATTATGTTTTTCATTAATCCAAGGTCCGTGCGTTTACAAATGGATCTTAAATGGATCCAAAATTTCTTAAACGAAAACCGAATAACAAATCGGTTTTGATCTTGAGCCGAAGACATATATTTGTCATTTGACCTAATCTATCGCCCCCTCCTCTCGATTGTCATCTCCCCATATCTCCTTTCCATAAGTTTTCTTCCTCTCTTGAGAATCTCTTTCTTCATGTTGGGGCGAGTTTGTGGCGGTGGTTGCGTAATCCACCGGATGTCGATAACACGAGAATCGATTTCAGGGTTCTTCTCTGATCATCATCACAATGTTAAGATGATAAACTCCGGCTCAAAAAATTGAGGTTATAATGAAGAATCAAAAGTTGTTTCAGAAGAGAGCATGAGATGACAATTCCGATGACGATGAAGAAAAACATGAAACGAAGAAATTAGAGGAGGTACTAGATTCATATTGTAGTAGTACCTAGATTCATATTGGTTTTTATTTGTAAAATGATAAGGCTCTCTACTCCAACGAGATAGCGCAGATGAGAGTTTTGGAGAAGACGATGTTCAACATAATTGTGGAAGTCGAAACTAACACAATCGAGATTTGTCTAGGGTTTAAATTTAGGGATACGATATATGTGAATTCTCAAAGAACAACAGAAAACAATTGTAACCAAAGATGGTGTTCTTGATCTTATTGATGAAAAGAGTAGTTTTGATCGTACAAGAGTTTGATCGTAAAAGAAAAAGGTGTTTGTGCTGTGAGAGCTTTGCGTAGTGTAAAGTCTAGAGCGATATTGCTTGTCCTTTGCTTGAGCCTTGAGTCTCTTTATATATAGGTGATAAACCGCCTCTCCAGCGATATTCCCGGAAGATTTCCATTTATCTTGAAGTCGGCTCAGAATATCGCGGATTAGGATAGTTTCCTTATTTTTCGGGGGTTTCCTGATTTGAGTTGATCTTTCGAGATTCTCCCCTATCATTTCCGGGTCTATCGGAAATGATCCTTTGGAAATGATACCTTACTTGGAAATGATACTTTGAAGGTGAATATTTACCAAGTCTTTGCCTCGGGTGATGATGAAGACTTCGCCTCGGAGAACTCGTGCAATCGGCTCGGGTACACAGGAAGGACTGGCTCGGGCACTCTAGAATGGTTTGTTTGAGTACCCCGAGGCGACGGGCTCGGGTGCTCCGAGGCGATTGGGCTCGGGCACCCCGAGGCGGTTGGGCTCGAGTACTTCCGAGGCGACTGGGCTCGGGTACCCCCGAGGCAATTGGGCTCGGGTGCTTGAGACGTCTTGTTCAGGTATCCCCGAGGCGAGGGGCTCGGGTCTACTAAATCGATTAGGTGGATAACCCGAGGTGGCTGATGCGATATCCCGAGGTGATCTCTGTAAAACTCCCGAGGTGTTCAAAGTCTGGCTCGGAGCCAAAGGATGGAATCCGACCCCAACAGTTAGCCCCCCAGCTCGTTAGTTTGGGGACCCAAGCGTGACGAGCTCTATGACAATTAGGCCGAGCCGTTTACTTTGGACAGTTCGGTCCCTTTAAAGTTTTTGGCGATTCGAATTCCTGTCGTTTCATCTTCTCTTGGCGTGTGACGGTTGGGATTCCTTCTCGAGAAGTGGAAAGGTCTTTTCGCTGATTCCCGAGATTCATGCGGATGCGAAGTATCCTACTCAATTCGTGCGTACCCGACGCGCCTTAGACACGGATACGATGTGTTTTATTTGGCTCGTTCGTACCCGACGCGCCCCAAATCTCTATAAATGTTAAGCCTCCGATTTATTTTTTCATTTCGCAATTGCAAAGGAAAATTTTCAAGGTTCGTTCTCTTCTCTCTGATCTTGAGTTCTTGCATTTTCTACTTTTTCCGTTAATACTTCCGTCATAGCGCCACCGTCATTAGATCTAGGTTGATTTCTCCGATCTGTCAAGCTTTGTTCCTCCGATCAACTTCTTCAATCTCCCGAGCCAGAAAATGTCTCTTTCTGATTCCAGTGATTCGCCCCGAGGCGACATTCACCTCCCTGTCTACAAGAGAAAGATGGTCTGGAGTTCTTCGAGCGACCCCGAGGCGGACCGTCAGATCGAATTGTACCGTGGTAGTGATGCAGGGTCGGCTTCACGGGAAGAAGACCCGAACCGTTTCATCGCTCGGGAAGACGCGATTGCAGATGTGGCTCGGGATCAGGATTTGCCTGATGATCCCGAGGCGATTTTGAATAGGAGGGGGATACATCCGCCGGTAGTTGGCGAAGCTGGGGTCTCAAGCTGGCAAAGTGCCCCCGAGGCGCCTCTTCTTCCTATTAAGGCCGAGGAGGTTCATTATGACTCTGATGAGGCGGCCAGGTTGCTTCAAGCTAGAGTTCAAGTAGCCAAGGGTCAACAGAAGAGGAAACGACCCAAGAAAGCTAGGAAACCTGATCCCCCGGGTTCCACCTTATGCACGGAGGACTCCCTTCGGGATCTCAAGGCCCGGTTCGGTTTTAGCGAGGGGATTAAACTAAGACTTCCAACTCCGAATGAGCGAGCAGATGATCCGCCCGAGGGGGTTTTTACCCTTTACGAGGGGTTTTTCTACTATTGCTATCTTTGGCTTCCAATCCCGAGGCCGATTTTGGCGTTTCTGTGGTCGTACAAGATTGCTCTATCCCAGATAACGACCCGAGGCCTGCGGCATCTAGTGGGGATTCTAGTCCGAAGTATTGAGACAGTCAATATTGTCGGCCTTAGCCACTTGAGGAATCTCCTGGAGATCCGGCGCATACCAGGCCCTGTTGAGAGATTTTACATATCCCCGAGGCCAAATAGGAGGGTTATCGGTGGCTTCCCGAGCAAGGATGAGAAGTACACCAATAACTTCTTCTACGTAGCCTTGAATGAGTATAGTGTCCACGAGGACTACTTAGGGAAAGTTGTTGGAAAGTGGAGACAAATCGGTACTACGCCCGAAGTCGTATTTGCTGTTTTGTTTTGCTTTAACCTTTTTACTGACCGTTTTTCTTGTTCATGCAGATCGGAACCCGTCGTTTCTCGAAGACATTCCCGAAGGTTTTCTAGATCTCCACGACGAACTAATTGCTCGGAAGTGCGATTGGACAAAACACTTCTCCCAAGAAAGAATTGAGAGAGCCATGCGTTTGCTGCACGGAGCTCCCTGCCAGTCTTCTTCCGAATCGTCCGATCATCACCTAGATCATCTTATCGAGATGCAGGGCGCTGCGCAGTCTCTGAGAGCCAGGAAGGCTGCTGAAAAGAAGGCGGCTAAGGAAAAAGCCGTTTTGGAGGCAAACTTCAGACCTCCTACTCCTCCCGAGGCCAACCCTGAGGTCGTTATTGGTGCCGAGGCAACTGATGAAGCTCGGGATATGGTTTCGATCGTTCCCGAGGTGGTCGGGCACATCTCCCCTACGACCGATGTCCCCGAGGTGGTAGGGGCTCTTGTCGTTGCTGCTCCAGCCACCGAGGCGAAATCCAAAACTAGGGGAAAAAGACCCCGAGGTGATGGCTCGGGAGTTTCTAGGAAGGAGAAAAGGAGTCGTAGCGAAACTCCAGTGTACAAGGACAAGATCGCTTCGGCGAATTTTGTCGCTTCTTGCTCGGGTCCGCCACTGTCTGCTCCCGACGCCTTGTTGGAGGCTCAAAACTACCGTGAAACCGCTGCTGGCCTATTCTACTATCGTTTCCATATTCTACTATCGTTTCCATATTTGCTTGCTAATGATTCTCGTTCTATTTCAGGCCTTCCATTCGATGAATTCCATGGTTCGGGCCTATGATTCTGGAGCTCGGAAGTCCGAGCTGGCCCGTGAGAGATCGGAGACGTCCCGAGCTAAGGTCGAAGCTAGGTTGTCCAAGGCGATCGCGGCTAAATAAGAAGCTGAGGCGTTGGCCAAGGCCGAGAAGGTGGAGCAATTGAAAGCTTCTGAGGATAGCCTGCGGACTCAGAGAAAGCTTGAGGCCGAGGTCGAACGACTCCATCGGTTATTTAACGAAGAGAAGGCTCTCCGGGAGAAGGAGATTGTCAGAGAAAGGAGGGCAGCCAAAAGGGAGTTTGCCGAGAAGGTCAGGGCTATCGAGGCGAAGATGGACCAGTTCGGGGAGGTATCCACGCGCTACATGTACTTGGTGCAAGCGCGGGCCAATGCCGAGCTGATAGCCGAGCTGGAGGAAGGGAAAAAGGTAGAAGATGAGAAGGCCGAGGTCCTTCAATGGACGGCTGAGTATGGGGACGCCGAGGATGAGTACGTCCGTCTAGGGACCGAGCTGCGAGAGGACTTGAAGCTTCCTCCGGTTTCCCCGGACTCTGTCGACGATAGCTTCGGGAACCGTTCGATCGAAGGCGCCGCGGCTGCGATAGGCGTTGCCGACCAGTCTGGTTCGAACTGAGGTACCGAGGTAGCTCAAGTTTCGCCGGTTAACCAAGACTCGATCTGATCCCGAGATGTCTTTTTATTCTCTCTTTTGCCCTTTTTTGTAAGACATGCCTGGACGGCTTTATCCACTGGATGTTAAGTATTTTTATCTTAAAACTTTTCTGAACTGAATCCAATACTAATGTCAAATAGCTAGATTTAACTTCCGAGCCGACAGCGAGAAGAATCGTGCACCAGTGTTAAGTTAACCGGGTTTATGATTTGCTCGTTGAGAAGTTAAATCCAAATGTTTTAATTTTCGAGCCGAAAGTGTAGTGAGTCGTGCACCAGTGTTAGGATAACTGGGTTTTGACTAAGTGGGACTAATCCTTATCGGTTGCGACCCGAGCTGATGTAGTCAAAACCAGTGCTTAGAAGCGAACTAGGATACCAGTGTCGAAGTCAACTGGGTTTTCTGAAGGCAATTTCCTTATGGCAAGATATCTCCGACCGAATTGTCTCGAATGCTTGTATAGCGCGCTGTAACCGAAGTGGCGAAAAGAGCTTTTTCTATCCGAGGACGTGGCCATCGTCCGAACGAACTTTTAGCTTTATAGGTCGATGAGATGACCGTTAAAATTTCCGAGGTGGATAAAATTGATAATCCGAAGGGTAAAAACTTAGAGAATTTGAAAAATTTAGTGGGAGTATATATATGTATACGGACCCACTCCCCCCCTTTTTTAATTAGGGGGGGTAGCTGAACTCGTCCGAGGACGAGCTGCCTACGTACCCTTTTCAGGGATCAAGCCACCCCGTAGTTCGAGTACATGCGTACCTTAGGTTTTAGCGGTAATATTTCCTTAGATGCATTGCGTTCCAGGATCTAGGTACCGCTTTGCCGTTCATGTTGACGAGTTCGTAGACGCCGGGACGGATTACCTTTGCGATCGTGTAAGGTCCTTCCCAATTCGTGCCGAGCTTACCTGCGTTCTGTTCGGCAGTATTCTGGAAAACTTTGCGCAGTACAAGATCTCCTTCGTGGAAGCGGCGATGCTTAACGTGAGAATTGTAGTACCGAGCCGTTGCATTTTGATAGTTTTGCATACGGATCAAAGCCGAATCTCTTCTTTCGTCAATTAAGTCCAGCTCGTCTAGCATCATCTGAGTGTTGGAATTTTCCTGCTCGGGGAGGAAACGTCTTCTTAGTCCCGGGATCTCAGCTTCGGTGGGAATCACACACTCCGTGCCGTAGACAAGGGCGAAAGGTGTTTCTCCCGTGGCCCGCCGCGGCGTGGTTCTGTGCGACCATAATACTCCTTCCAATTCGTCGGCCCAGCGGCCTTTCTTCGCGTCGAGGCGCTTTTTTATTCCGTCGAGAATCGTCTTGTTTACCGCCTCGGCCTGTCCATTTCCCTGAGGGTACCGAGGCGTAGACTTGCTGAGGCGAATTCCCCATTTCTCGCAGAATCCTTCGAACCGAGCCGAAATAAACTGCGATCCGTTGTCTGTGACGATCTCGTAAGGTATCCCATGGCGGCAAATGATGTTCTTCCAGACGAAGTTCTCGACCTGCGCGTCTTTGATGCTGGCGTAGGAGTCCGCCTCGATCCATTTGGAGAAGTAGTCTGTCAGTACGAGGACGAGTTTCTTCTGCTTGGAGTTGTGTAGAGGTCCGATGATGTCCATGGACCATCGCATGAATGGATAAGGCGAAGTGACGGAAGAGAGGAGCTCGGCGGGTTGATGAATGGTTGGTGCGTGCCTCTGGCATTTATCACATCGTTGAGAAAACTTTTCGCAGTCTTTGACCATCGTCGGCCAAAAATATCCGTGGCGTTTGATCTTTATAGCCAAGGCTCTTCCGCCAGAATGGTTTCCACAAGATCCGCCGTGTACTTCTTCCATGACTCTCCGAGCTTCATTTCCTTCGACACAGATAAGGAGGGGACCAGAAAATCGCCATTTAAAGAGCTCTCCGTCGATCAGAGTATACCGAGCCGCTTTGGCCTTAAGCTTCCGAGCTGCCCATTTTTTAGTAGGAACTTCTCTATCGGCAATGTAGCTTCGGATGGCTCCGATCCATTTGGCGTCGCTTCCGTATTCGGGCTCGGTTGCGTCCGTAGTTTGCTGGTCTAGCTGTTCGATGTCCATTTCTTCTGGTTCTTCTGTCTCCCGAGCTGTTAGAACTTGATCCTTGCTATTATCTTCAATGCTCGGCTTTTCGATGAACTCAACCGGTATGATTCTCTTCAGATTTGGGTCGGAGGTTGAAGCTAGAGCCGCTAAGGCATCGGCCGATGTGTTCTCACCTCGTGGGATTCTGGTTAACTCAAACTCTCTGAACTGATTCGCCAAGTCTTGCGTGAGAGCAAGATACGCTTCCATTCGTTCGTCGCGAGCCGCGTATTTTCCATTGAATTGATTAGCCACGAGCTAGGAGTCGCAAAAGGCTCGCAGCTTGTTGATCTTAAGTCCCCGAGCCAGCTTAAGTCCTGCTATCAGCGCTTCGTACTCAGCCACGTTGTTAGTCGCGTCGAAATTTAGCCGAAAGGATTGTTCAAGGATTTCACCCTCTGGTGATGCCAGGCGGATTCCGACGCCAGAACCTTGTTTTGAGGATGAGCCGTCGACGTGGAGGATCCAAACAGCGTTGGGTGACTCTTCTCGGGCGTTCTCTGTTGGCAGCTCGATGATAAAATCGGCCAGGACTTGGGATTTCGCGCATGTTTTGTTTCTGTATTCGATGTCATACTCGCTGAGTTCTACCGCCCACTTGGCCAAGCGTCCCGATTGGCTCGGACTGTGCAGGATGGTTCGGAGTGATACGGGCGCCATGACGACAATTGAGTGAGACTGGAAATATGGCCGTAGCTTCCGAGCTGACATTACTACGGCGAGGGCGAGCTTTTCAGTTTGCGGGTAGCGTGTTTCCGCGTCGGTGAACGTTTGCGAGACATAAAATATCGGCTTCTGCTCCCCTCTGTCTTCCCTGACTATGACTCCACTTATAGCCGTATCAGAGACTGCGATGTACAGGAATAATGGCTCGCCCGGGACTGGTTTCGCTAACACCGGTGGATTGGCCAAATACTTCTTCAGTTCCTGGAAAGCTTCTTCGCAGCGATCGGTCTATTCGAATTTCTTGTTCCCGCGCAGAGTATCGTAGAAAGCAAGGCATTTGTCAGTGGACCGCGAGATGAATCGGTTCAAGGCTGCGACTCTCCCGGTGAGACGTTGGACTTCGCGCTTGTTCTGTGGTGAGGGCATGTTTAGTAGAGCATCGATTTGCTTCGGGTTTGCCTCGATGCCTCGGTGAGTTACGAGATATCCCAAGAATTCTCCAGACTTTACCGCGAAACGACATTTTGCCGGGTTAAGCTTCATGTTGTGCTTGTTGAGCTGGCGAAAACAGTCGCGTAGATGGGCTATGTGATCGCTTTCTTCAAGGGATTTGACTAACATGTCGTCGATCGTCGGGGTGCATGAGAATCTGATTGTATCCTGCGAAAGCATCCATGAATGATAGTAACTTATTTCCCGCGGTTGCTTCCACTAAACGATCGATATGTGGGAGCGGAAAACTGTCTTTAGGGCAAGCTTTGTTCAGATCGGTGAAATCGACGCAGACTCTCCACTTGCCGTTCTTCTTTTTAACCACGACAGGATTTGCTAACCAGTCCGGATATCTTGCTTCAGAGATCGAGCCGATCTTCAGGAGCTTTTCTACTTCGGCGTTCACTGCATCTGCGCGATCCCGACCCAATTTTCTTCGCTTCTGCTTGATGGGCTTGAAAGATGGGTCAACATTCAGCTCGTGGCAGATTACGTCGATGCTTACCCCAGGTAAATCTTCAACCGACCAGGCAAAAGTGTCGATGTTCTCTTTTAGGAATGAGATGAGCTCGGTCTTGATTTCCTCGGTTAAGTCGCTGCCGATTTCCACGCATCGTTCAGGCCGTTCGTCGTCGAGGCTAATGGAGATTACAGGATCCGAGGTAGGCTTCTTCTCCTCGCGCGCCTCCTCGATCTGTAATTGCTATAACTGTTTAGATATAGCCTTCTCTTCACTCCGGCCAAGTTTTGATTTCTTGTGATCCGTTTCAGCCTTCGCTTCAGTGACAGGGTTTCGGAGTTTGTGTGCTGCCATGAAACACATCCGAGAATTTTTCTGACTGCCCCAGATCGTTTTCACGCCATTGGGGGTCGGGAATTTGACACACAGATGATATGTTGATGCGACAGCTCGCATTAGGTTTAACCACGGAGTTCCCATTATGACGTTGTAGATGGTAGGTCGATCGGTGACTGAGAAGTTGACTATCTTTGTTACCCCGCCGGCTCGGACTGGTAGTTGGATGGTTCCAAGCATCATCAAAGTTTCCCCTGAAAATCCGAGGACAGGCCTCGGGGTCGGAATCACCTGTGACATGTCGATGTTCATTTGTCGGAGCGTTTCGCGAAAGATTACGTCGATGGTGCTGCCGGTGTCAATTAATACTCGGTAAATATCATGGTCTCCTATCGCTAAAGTGACGACGATCGGATCGTTATGAGGCATGTCGAGCCCGTTTGTCTCGCTTTCTTCGAATGTGATCACGTCGTTAGGTCGATCGAAGCGTCTTGTCCAGTTGCTAGGCGTCTCGGCTCGACGTTGATAAGCTTTGATTGCCGCTACGGTGTCAGGACAGTATGGCGATCCACCCATTATGGTAAGAACCTTCTGCCGCGTACCATCTCGGTCTTCGTCTTCCGACCCCCGGGTTCTTTTCTGAGACTCCTGGTTCCTTGGTTCGGGGTCTCTTCTTGGGTTGGTCTGCTCGGGCTCTGGTTCTGGCTCGAGGTCCTTAAGAGTAACGTTTGTCCCGAGCTCTCCAGCTAGGAATTTGGTTGCTAACTTGGCTCCAAGGCTTCGGCATCTCGAGGTATGATGGCCGAAAATTTTGTGGTGTTCGCAATATTCTTGATCATTGCTCGGTGGCTGATCCCTTGTCCAAGTGAAGGATTCTCTTCCTCGTCCACGGCCCCGGCCTCTGCCGCGGCCACGGCCTCGGGGCGTGTCAATCTGATAGCTATGATATCCTGAGAAATTACGCCCTTCGTGGTGCGTATACGTACCGCTCTCGCGTGTTTTTTTCTGGACCGGAGGCGTCGCTTGGGCTTTTTCGGCTTTCTCGGCTCAAGGCGCCTGTTTCGTTGGCTTGTGCCTCTTCGCTAGTAGCGCCATCTCTTCTTCGTGGGCGACGAAATCCGAGGCTCGGTGCAGCGCGTCGCGAATTGTTGTCGGTTTAGACAGATTCAACTCTTTCCTGAACTCTGACTTATACCAGAGGGCTTTCTTTAAAGCCGAAAGAGCGGCTACATCTGTAATTCCTTCTACCTTGGCTAGTGTCAATTTGAAGGTTTTGAGGAAATCTCTTAACGGCTCGGTGGGCTGTTGAGACAGGGACCACAGATCCGTGTCGGAGGTTCCGAGGTCGATGAGCACGGAGTATTGCTTGAGGAACAGTGTCGACAGCTCGTCGAAACTGTCAATCGAGTTTCGTTCCAATCTTGAAAACCACTCTAATGCGGGTCCTTTGAAGTGTTCCACGAAAAGTAAGCACAGACCTGCATCCTTTTCCCCGGGCTTGAACCTGGCTCGGGCCACAGATATCACGAACGATTTAATGTGGCACTTTGGATCGGTTGATCCGTTGTACGAGTCGATTTTGAACTTTCCCAGATTGGACATCGTCGTTTCGGAAATTCTTTTGGTGAAAGGAGTATTCCGAGATTCTTCTAAAATTCGGTCGATGTTCGGTGCGGAGGATGAAATGCTATGTATCTGGGTTTTGACGAGCTTCATATCAGCTTCCGCCTTGGCTAGGGAGGCTCGGATCTTGCTTAGCTCGTCTTCTCTTTCAGATTCTTCGGCCCACCTTATGTTTTCCTCAGTTTCTTCATCGTCAGTGAGATCTGTTCGCTCGGCGGAGTTAGCTCCGGCTCGGGTACGCTCATCTTGCAGATCGTCTAGCTCGTCCGTTAAATCCACTGCGTCTGGCTCGGTGGGGTCATCTTGGTTCTCGCGTCTGGCAGGGTCGGCTCGGGTTGCGACTCTTGTGTTGCCGGTTGGTTGCCCACGTGTTGCGATTTCGTCGACTCGCTGCGCCAGGGTTTTGTTAGCTTTCTCTTGGTCGTCAGCTTTCTTCTGGAATTTAACCATCAAGTCTTTCAATTCGGCTAGGGTCGCTATGATCGTCGGATCGGCTTGAGGATTCTGAGGGTTCGGAGGGTTCGGGATCCCTCCTCCAGCTGGTGGTGTCTGACGACCGTCTTCGTTCATCGTCCTTTTCGGTAATCGAGTTCTGCGTCTTAGGGTAAGAGAATTCTAAAGTTTCCCCACAGACGGCGCCAAACTGTGGAAGTCGAAACTAACACAATCGAGATTTGTCTAGGGTTTAAATTTAGGGATACGATATATGTGAATTCTCAAAGAACAACAGAAAACAATTGTAACCAAAGATGGTGTTCTTGATCTTATTGATGAAAAGAGTAGTTTTGATCGTACAAGAGTTTGATCGTAAAAGAAAAAGGTGTTTGTGCTGTGAGAGCTTTGCATAGTGTAAAGTCTAGAGCGATATTGCTTGTCCTTTGCTTTAGCCTTGAGTCTCTTTATATATAGGTGATAAACCGCCTCTCCAGCGATATTCCCGGAAGATTTCCATTTATCTTGAAGTCGGCTCAGAATATCGCGGATTAGGATAGTTTCCTTATTTTTCGGGGGTTTCCTGATTTGAGTTGATCTTTCGAGATTCTCCCCTATCATTTCCGGGTCTATCGGAAATGATCCTTCGGAAATGATACCTTACTTGGAAATGATACTTTGAAGGTGAATATTTACCAAGTCTTTGCCTCGGGTGATGATGAAGACTTCGCCTCGGAGAACTCGTGCAATCGGCTCGAGTACACAGGAAGGACTGGCTCGGGCACTCTAGAATGGTTTGTTTGAGTACCCCGAGGCGATTGGGCTCGGGTGCTCCGAGGCGATTGGGCTCGGGCGCCCCGAGGCGGTTGGGCTCGAGTACTTCCGAGGCGACTGGGCTCGGGTACCCCCGAGGCAATTGGGCTCGGGTGCTTGAGACGTCTTGTTCAGGTATCCCCGAGGCGAGGGGCTCGGGTCTACTAAATCGATTAGGTGGATAACCCGAGGTGGCTGATGCGATATCCCGAGGTGATCTCTGTAAAACTCCCAAGGTGTTCAAAGTCTGGCTCGGAGCCAAAGGATGGAATCCGACCCCAACAATAATCATCACAGGATGAGCTTTCTTCTGGGTTTGTGTGGAAGTCGAAACTAACACAATCGAGATTTGTCTAGGGTTTTAATTTAGGGATACGATAAGCGTGAATTCTCAAAGAACAACAGAAACAATTGTAACCAAAGATGGTGTTCTTGATCTTATTGATGAAAAGAGTAGTTTTGATCGTACAAGAGTTTGATCGTAAAAGAAAAAGTGTTTGTGCTGTAAGAGCTTTGTGTAGTGTAAATTCTAGAGCGATCTTGCTTGCCCCCCTGTGTGAGCCTTGAGTCTCTATATATAGGGATGGTAAACCGCCTCTCCAGCGATATTCTAGGAAGATTTCCATTTAACTTGAAGTCGGCTTAGAATATCGCGGATTTAGGACATTTTCCTTATTCTTCGGAGTTTCTTGGAAGATTTCCTGATTTGAGTTGATCCTTCGAGATTCTTCTTTATCATTTCCGGGTTTATCGGAAATGATTCTTCTTTTTTGGAAATGGTGCCTTGCTTAGAACTGGTATTGAAGGAGAATATTCTTCTAAGTCTTTGCCTCGGGCAGCCGATGGTTTTTCCTTGGGTATCTGAACCATTTGACGGCTCGGATGCCTTGGTGCTTGGACTGGCTCGGACGGCTGAGGTACGAACGAGCTCGGGAGTATGAGTGGCGAACCGGCTCGGGTACCCGTTTAGATGGGGCTCGGTACTCGAACTTATTAGCTAAGTCATACCCGAACCGATTAGCTCACTTCCCGAGCCGTGAGAGGGACCTTTCCCGAGGCGATAGAGAAATGCTTACGAGCCGAATAGAGGGGAGTTTCCGAGCTGATTGAGGGGACGTTCCGAGCTAGTCACATATTCATCAAAGTTTGGCTCGGTCTTAATAAGGGATAGAATCCGACCCCAACAGTTTGTAGATTAGAAGGTAATCTAAAAGTTTTTCTCTTTTTTTGTTCTGTCTGATTAATTATCCATATAGGATTAATTTCTTATAAACGTTGTGTTTTAGCTTCATTGTTTAGAGTTACGAATTAGATGGATGAAGGTGATATAACTAATATTTTACTTTTTGCTTTTGTTGTTGTTGTTGTGCAAGTAGCTTTAGTTCGTAGAGTGAATTTGTGCAGAGTTATTATTGGGGGAGTAAATTAGGTAATAGACATTAGTGGCTTTTTGTAGGGAACAATGGTCAAATAAAATATACAATTGGATATAGATTTCAAAATATTTACAAGAAAACCAGTCTCACTTTTGGTCTTGCGCGTGGGAGAAGCGGGTTTGAATTTTGACACAAAAATACAATTGAACTGACATGTATTAAATGCTTGTCAAGTTAAACCGACCCTTATACGGTCTACCTGTGCATGTCCAACATAAGATCTGCTTAGACATACACATTTTAATATATATGTCTACATAGTTAACAACCAAAGTAAAACTAATTGAATATGTAGTTGTACATAACCAAGTATTCATGTATTTATAAATATAGTTATCTAGCTATAACAACCGTTTATAGAAATTAAAAAGGGATGTAGTTGTATATCTAAATAAATGTCGCTTGACAAAAACTGAATGGACATTATATAAACACATAGAGGTCTAACATACTTGATCTCTTACATCCAATTCTCACACTTTATCTAATCTCAAAGAAATTACAGGAAACACATCTTCATCGTCGGATTCTGGTTTAGTTCTATCACCAACTGCTCTGTATCATCGGCATGTTCTTCTCTCTCGGCAAATAAACAAGAAGGAAGCTCCGTAGGAGTCATCCTCTGCAAGAAATTTAGATCTACGAAGGGGAGATGACAACATGCATGTTAAAAATGGAGATCCACGGGAAATTATGAGTGTCTATATGTAGATCTAAGTAAAATAAGTAGAGATTCAAGTAGATCCGGATAGGCCTAACAGAAAAGATAGAGTTTAAGATTGGAAAACACCAGTCGAAATTAGAGTAAAACAATTGAAACGACGGGTGGTAAGATCGGAAAAATAAAAGATATCATGAAACAAAACTTTGTGTAAATTCTACGCTTCGGCTTACCAAATTAGAGAGGAAGACGCTTTGAGTCGGCGCTTAATAGTGACAACAACGGGAATCATGTACTTCGTTGGAGCAAAAACAAGTTTTCGATGAGAAGAAGATGAGACTAAGAGAAAGGTTTTCAGAGAGAAAAAATATGAGACAAAAATGAAGATAAATGAAGATAAGTTTGGGTCGCTCTATTCTGGCGAGTGAGGGTAAAGAAGGCAGAAAATGGGGTTGAAATTATCATTGTCTTGTGATCAAAAAGATAAAACCAAAAATTTAATTAGACTCAGATCTGATACTTCTCACCCAATTATCTCTAGTTCGTATTACGAGTCGGCTTTTATTGGTTATGTGCTTAGAAGAAGTTTGATCCTTTGTCAGAGTTAGACAATAATTATTTTTGAATTTGGATTATCGTGTTTTCCTTTTTATTGATTGTGAGTTTTTTCTTCTTTGTGCTTCCTGATCGCTTCATTGTCAATCAATGGTAGAAGAGTTTCCTCATTTAACTTTACTTTGTGATTGTTATATGACTGTAGGAGTTTCCTCCAGCTGCTGGAAGGTACCATGTCATGTGGGTATCTTTCCTCGACTCGCTAAAGCTTCTCCTGATTCTATCTTGATCATTGTTTCTAATCATGTCGATGTTTTGACTTACGTTGCTTGGAAACTCTCTGGTTTTCCGGTGAATCGAATTCTTGGATCTTGTACTAATCTCAAATCCTCTCGGTTCCGATTCTTAATTGCAGATCATCTTGATGTTAATGCTCTAGAAGTACAGGTCAGTTCCAACCAAAATTAGGGATTTGTGTAATAAAGCTGTGCTTTTTTTTTTTTGTTAAAGATTGCGATTAAGGGAGTGATTAGCTTGGTTTTATATTGTTTAGTTTGATAAAAATCTATGCTTTAGTGGTTTAATACTCCAACTAAAGAAGTGTAGAGGAGTTTCACAGAGACTTTCATCTCAAATACTGATGGTTCTTTGCCTTATTCGTTTGCAGGTTATCTTTTCTTTAGAGCTAAGAAAGAAGACATTGATTCTGTAAACAAAAAGACAGCTGCTAAATATGGTTCAGTTGCAGCTCCTATTATTGTGGAAAAGACTACATCTTCCACAATGGTTGCGGAGCCGAGCCAGTGTGGCCAAGGCATGTGAGCCAATTCTGGAGAAACAACAACGTGAGCTCTCCAAGCGGGAATTAATTGTGTTTAGAAATAATTATTTTAATATAAACTAACCACTACATACTATTGGATTTAGGGTTTCTAAACAATTTTTTGGGGTTAAACCACGCTCATCATCAAATCAGAATTCATCAGTCGCATACGATCGAGAAAGGTGACTTAACTCTTGCAATCGTTTTTGCTTTTGTTCAATATACGTTACGGGCTTTGAGATTGTCGTAGAGCTTGCAATGTTTCTCTTTGTGTCATATCCTCTTTGATATTTTTATAGAGGAAAAATTGCTTTGTTTAGCTGAAGGGATTTGATTCTATGTATTGTTGATTTGGGAAGAAGAGGTTAAAGTTTTAAGAGTTAGTTCTGGAGTGGAGTCTATACCCGCTTAACTATTAAATGGTAAAAAGTTCTCTTGTGTGATTTAAGTGATGTAAAATTCTTTTGCATCACTTAAAAGTAATACAAATATTCAAAATAAATGATATAAACTGGTCTTTTTTTTTTTGTATGCATGTATTGCGGATAATACGCATGGTTGGCTGCTTATTTAAGTGATGTAAAATTCTTTTGCATCACTTAAAAGTAATACAAATATTCAAAATAAATGATATAAACTGCTCTTTTTTTTTTGTATGCATGTATTGCGGATAATACGCATGGCTAGCTGCTTACTACTGGCATGTGCACAACTATCCCAAGCTTAAAGGATTGTTACTGTGTCCATCAGTGTCCCTAATATCATCAATAATGTTTTGTTCTTCCTCTTTTACACGAAAAAAAGTATATGAGATACTTCCGAATTTGTTTTTTTTTTTAAATCCAAATCTCTTTTCTTTGAGAAACTACTCCGCTTTATATTTTCTTCTTAATTGTAGGTTTTGGTGAATGAGTTTGCAGATTTTGGTTTGAAAAATTGCAGTTTTTGATTTTTTGAGTTATAGATTGCAGGTATTGGTTTGAGAAATTGCAGGTTTCCGCAAGGTTTGGTTTAAGAATATGAAGCACTACCTTCTTTCCATTAAATTAAGGATAATGAAGATGGATGTTGAGTTGTAGGTTTCATGAGTTGCAAAGTTTTTAATGAGTTGCAGTTTTTTCTTATCAATGTTTGAGACTTTGAGTAGTTGCAGGTTTTCAATTTGAGATTTTGAATTCATGTATCAATGTTCCAGTTTGTTTTCCGCAATGTAAGCCATATCTTAACAAAGTTTAAAAATCTTGAGGTAGTTCTTTGTGAGGCAGAGTAAGTATTTCGACTCAGATTTATCATATGCAAAGATGGCTCCAAATCATTCCCTAGAGGCCGTACCATGATTTTATTACACCATTGATTGTTTATTAACAAAATCAATGCAATTTTTTACAGTATTACAACAATTACAATATCAAACATTTCAGCTTTTATTTTTAACATTTGTTCAATACTTTTACTATAGACTCATAATTTAACACAAATAAAACACATGTAAGTTTTAACACTTTTATCATACCAACTTAAAATGGCTACTCCTAATTAATAATTAATCAACCACAAAAACATATATACTGTGTTAAAATAATCACTTATACATTTTTAAATATATAAAACGAAAACCGAAATAAAAACCAACACCCGCAGTATACCGCGGGTTGAATCCTAGTCTGCATCATATTTTTCTACCTTCGTTCTCATTATATGGCTGCAAAGGATCCCTTGATTAACACGTTTTCTTCAACATTGTGACAAAAGTTTTATACATGTTACCAAGACTCTTTATAAACTTGCTTTTTCCTTTTTTGGCTGATTGATGGTAGTTTATTTTCTGTTTTCATGTCGTATAAAGGGGATTGATATTCAATTTTGAGTACTGAACCGGTATTTTTAGCATTTGTTAAGTTAAAATGTTAAATGTGAAGTTGATTAATAAGTTGACTAAAGTTGAAACTAAAATGATTTAGTTAAAAAATTGGAGATTTTGTGGTTAATAGAAAAGTTTTATTCCGGCCGGGGCTAGAAAATTGGGGATTTTATTGACTTTTTCCCTTGAATAGTTAATAAATGTGTAATGTGTGAATTACATTTGAGCAAATAAAAAAAAGTGTCTCGTTCCCAAATCCCTATATACACAAAATCGAGTGAAACCCTAATCGAGCACACACACCAAAAAAAAAACCTATTCCCATTTGATGGAGAGACAGATAAAGAAGGACATGGATTTGCTTACAGAGGATCTATGGGAGCTTATACTTGCGAGATTACCACTAAAAAGCATCATCACCACTCCAAAATTGGTTTGCAAGATATGGAAATCAATCATTGAGTCTCGGTGTTTCCGAGACCTTTTCCAATCTCTACACCAAAACTCTCAATCTTCTTCATGGTCACTCATGTGTAGAGGTTGTGAGACAGAGATCATGTCTCACTATGGATCAGACAACTGGAATCTTAAACATTCTCTCGGTTCTTACATTTCTTCTTTCCTAACCAACAAATTCGAGAACTATAATGAAGCTAGAGTCGTGTCTTACACGGATGTTGGATTGATATTGATTCATCGAGTGTCGAATCAATCTTTCTACGTTGCTAATCCTGTTTCTAGGCAATGCGTTGAGATTCTTCCTTTAGCTTCACAGAAACAGGAACGTTTATGGATTTTGGGAATAGCCACAAGAGTTGAGAACGGCGTCGTTTTAGGTTACAAAGTTGTTCTGTTGAAACCTAACTTCACTTTCCTCATATATTCATCTGAGACAGGCTTCACTACAAGAAAACATGGATTTAGCGACTACACTAATAGTAACAAAATCGTCGCTAAATACATAATTACGACTGTTTGGCGACTAAAACACGTAGTCGCTGAACCTTGCGTCGCTAAATTAATATGTCGCATAACAGTCGCTATTTGGCGACTAATAGGCGACCATTATTTGCAGTCGCTATTCAGTCGTCATACAGTCGCTAAGTTTGCGACTCTTTTGGCGACTGTTTTGTGACGAATCTAGCGACTGATATGTCACTACATGGCGACTATTTCTAAATGTTTTGGTAACTGAATTGATACTACTTTGCGACTGATTATTATCGACTTAGAATGCTAATTTTGGAAGAATAAATTGTTGCTAATTTGATTGTTATTACCAATTTATAAGCAAAAAGACTTCTATTTAAAACATAAGAACATTGTAAAATAAAACACAACATAAACATACATTATAAACATAAGAACCAAGTTCAAGTAACCAAACAACTTACACAAGTTTTCAAAGCAACACAAATGTTTTCAAGTTCAGAGAAGGAGGGAAAGTTTAGAGAAGGAGGGACCTATGGTTGTTGAGCAGTAGGAATAGCAGCAGTACTAGCAGCAGTCGTGGCAGCAGCAGTGGCAGCAGTCGTGGCAGCAGCAGTGGCAGCAGTCGTGGCAGCAGTAGTGGTATCAGTGGCAGCAGATTGAGACTTGAGGAAGTCCATAAACTTTGGGTCAGTCTCGCTCAAATACTTCTTCACCATCGCCAAATGCTTGATCTCAGCTGCTTGCTCAGCTGCGACCCGCAAAGCCTCTGCTTCACGTTCTGCTTGGAGCGCTGCTTGTTCCTCTATCTTCCGGTTAGCATCCTCAAGCTGTGATTGGAGTGTTGTGAAAGAAGAACTGCTTCCTGGGTACTTGCGCTTCCCGTTGATGTAAACCCCGAGGCTGCCAACACCAAAGTATTCTCCTCTGTCGTTTGTGATAGTAGACTGCATACCAAAAGAAAGAGTATTACACAGTTAGACTGCATAACAAAAGCAACCATAAATAACAGACTATTTACCTGAAGGAAGATCTCATCATCCTCCTCTTGAGATAGCTCAGATCGTCGCGAAGTCCCATCTGCTTGTTCATCATTCTCTTGAAGGGCAGCCAACTTAGCTGCCTTGTTCTTGAGATATGTTTCATGGACTTCCTGCGCCTTCCTATCCACAAAAGTCCCATCCTTCTTGGTATGAGTCCTGATGAAAACTTCACCAATAGTAGGAGGTCTTCCCAATTCAACTTCCTGAACAAAGTAAATATATAGGTCTAAGTAATCTAAAACTAAAACAAAGTAAATAGGTCAGAATGTACCATCTCTTGCTCTATTTGTAAAAACGACTTTGGACCAGCAACATGCTTGTGAGGACCAAGACCATTACGGTCAGACATCCTAGCTGCTGATGTGGTTGAACTCTTTGCTAATGCTTCTTCAGTGTCCCAATAGGCACACATCTCTATCCAAAGTTTTTTCTCGATCCAATTTGGCCTCTCTCGTTTTGAACATGCCTTGCTAACCATGTCTTTCATCCGCACCTGACAAATCTTGTAGAATTTAGCTTCAACAACACCTGTCACTGAGGGATGCCAGGTGTGTAGTTTCTACAAAACAAGAGTAGAGTTTGGTGTTAGTGATCAAAAAACAAAACAAAAGTGTAATTACATAAGTATAAGAGGAGACAGAATTTTACCGCGAATTCGAGGAAGTATCTTTCTCTTCTACCAGTAGGAACACAGCTCCAATTGTAATATGGCCCATCAAACTTGTTTGTGAAACATTTAGTGATCTTCCGGGTTAGCTTTCCATTGTCCTTACCAAACCTACAATCAAATAAACCAGTTAGCTTTGATACCATCCATAATCTATAAACAAGTAGACCTAATCAAATACAAACATACTCAAACTCAAATTATACAACCAGACTCTACTTAAGTTATACAAGCAGACCAATAAAGCTAATACTATATACTAACAGACTCTAACTCAAACTATACAAGCAGACCAATATATAAACTAACTCTTAACAAGCAGACCTATATACAAGCAAACCTAACAGACTATAAGACCAAAACATGCAGACCAATAAGAAGACTCTACTTAAGTATTGAAAATGTTTACCAAGCTAACCTATTTACCTAATCTATATCAATCAGACCTATATACAATCAAAATTAAAATTATACAAGCAGACTCTACTTAAGTTATACAAGCAGACCAATAAAGCTAATACTAACAGACTCTAACTCAAACTATACAAGCAGACCAATACAAAACATAATCTATATACTAACAGACTCTAACTCAAACTATACAAGCAGACCAATACAAACATAATCTATACACTAACAGACTATAAGCAGACTCTAACTTGTAACTCAAATACAAACCTAATCTATATACAAGCAGACCAATATATAAACTAACTCTTAACAAGCAAACCTAACAGACCATAAGACCAAAACATGCAGACCATAAGACCAAAACATGTAGACCAATAAGAAGACTCTACATAAGTATCAAAGACTCTAACTCTAAACTCAAATACACACCTAATCTATATACAAGCAGACTCTAACTTTTTACTCAAATACAAACCTAACCTATATACAAGCTAACCTATTTACCTAATCTCTATACAATCAGACCTATATACAATCAAAATTGAAAATGTTTACCAAGTGGTTCCAGGCTCGAGGTTGGGAGAGATGACGGTGGTGAAATTCTCACGGCCTGGGATGAGAAGTGAAGCATGTAAATCCGCGAGGACATCTTCTGGGAGTGTTGAATCCCTCAACACATCTTCTTCAGATTCACCATCAGCTTCCTCATCTTCAGATTCCTCGTGTGAGTTTTGAGCCTGAGAACTATGATGCGATACAGAGGCTCGAGGTTGAGGAGAAGGTCTTTGTTGACGAGATGGTATTTGTCGATTCGACGCTGCAGGCTGAGTCGACGCTGGAGATTGAACCGGCGCAGGAGGTTGAACCGGCGCAGGAGGTTGATTCGACCGAGAAGCTAGACGATGAATAGATCCTACAGAGCCTCGTCCTTGAACAGATCCAGACCCTCGAACTTGAGTAGATCCAGATTCCCGAAATGGATGCGACCCAGAGCCTCGAGGAGAATCATCGCCGGACTGGAACAGCTGCGTCGGAGGAGGATAGTCTCTATGAGTCGGAGGCTGAGACTCTAGGGCTACAGGATTTACCGGACTTTGCTGAGTCTCTGGGGCTTCAGGATTCGCCGGAGTGAAGGTATACTGGCTAGGAAGAGTACTGGGTCTTCGATTTGACGTCCCAGAAGCAGTGGGTCGATTGGCGACAGGTCGATTTGGGGAAACCTTCGGAGCCCTTCCTCCTCCTCCTCTTCCTCTCTTACTTTTTCCACCACGAGGAGCCATCGAGAGAGATACAAAAAAGGATTAAGAAGATGAAGGATTGATAGGATTTAGAGAAGAATTGATGGGGAATTAGGGTTCTTCAGTGAAGAGGAAAAGAGGATTAGGGTTTTCTGCGAAGGAAAAACGAAATATATACTGGGTCATTGGGCTTCTTGGCCCAGTTTGAATGTCCAACTAGAATTACGCAGTCGCTAATTCGTAGCCACTGAGTCGCTCCAGTTGGCGACTAAATATTCGGTAACTAATCCGTCGCCATATTTAGCGACTATATAACGACAATATAAATCAGTCTCATATTAGATACTAATTAGCGACTATCGTATTTTGGTTCATATTTAGTCGCCAAAACGTAGCTAAACGGTCACTAGATGTAGCGACTGCAAAATTAGTCGCCGAATTAAGTCGCTAATCTCATGTTTTCTTGTAGTGCTTGTGGAGTCTCAACAGTGCCAATTTTCCTTTCACTTATATATCTCAGGAGTTTAACAATCCTATTAGCTTGAACGGAAGTCTTCACTGGCTAGCTCACGGTTCCAACTATCAAGATTTCGTTGTATCCATCAACTTCTACGCTATTGATAGCCGGTCTGATCGATGTCGTGCTACGCAATTTCCTGATTTAGATAAAGTTCCTAAATTCAGAAGAACTTGCACAACTTCTCAAGGATATCTCATGTATATGAATATATTCTCTATACCAAAAGTTGATGGAAATTTAGAGGATAAGTTATGTGTATGGAGGCTAGAAAGCTGGCAATGGCGACTAGTATCCGAAATCTCATTGGATTCTATTAAGACCGGTTTCGATTATATTCCGTTGGGAATAAACCCTTTTGATGCTAAAACAGTCTACCTTTGGAGTCACAAATGTTTGTTATCTATCAACTTACACAATGGAGACTTTGTGCTCCACAAGGATATGGAACGTAGCAGCGAGGGTCGCATTCTGAATTCCGTTGATTGCCCGAGAGATATGAAATACATCTTAGAATCAAATTTTGCCTCGTTCGTTCTCCCACAGTGGATGCATCCGTTCCCGAGCATGGTAAGGAGAGTTTAATTTAGATGTAATATTTGTAAGACTTTATTTATTCTTTATTTTTGCTAATTACTGTTAGTTCCTAATGCAAGAGAAAGAAGTTGTAGAATGATGCTTAGTTTTCTTTTGAGTGTTTTTTGTTATGTCGTTTTGTAGATTAATTCTTTGGTAGGCTTCTTCTAACTTGGAAAGCTTTTGTTTGTGGAGAAATCTTAAAACTCGACCATTTGTAATCAGCAAATCACACTTTTAATCAACCAGAAATCACACCTCTATTTGTGGAGTCTACTCTTTTTTGAAAGAGAGAGTATGAATTTCCTTCTCTCTTCTTCAATAACAGCGTTCACAACACAATGCCTCTCGAGTTATCTCTTTCCTTCAAAGTTCCAAATTAATGCTTTGAAACAATCTCAACATATCGCAAAACTCAGTCCACAGTTGTAAAATTTTTTTTTTTTTTTTTTGAATACCAGGAGGTTCTGGGCTAAAGCCCGAAATCCCCCCAGACCCGAAACTACAGCATGTAATATTAGTTTCGTCGCAAGCATCACTCGAACCAGCGAGCTCTAAGGTTCGCCTAAGATCTTTACCAGTTGAGCTAACGACACTTGGTAAAAAAAAAAAAAAAAAAAAAAAAGTTATTTAAGAATGAGAACTGAGATGAAGCAAACCAAGAATTAGGAAACAAAATCTATACCCAACCCGATTAATTTGTCTTGACTACCCAAGAACCGGATTCGTTCTATAAAAGAGTAAACCCTAATCCTAACACAAACAAGCACTAAAAAAAAACCCTAATCTCGTTGAACAGAGAGATAGGAAGCTATGAATTCCTTTCCAGAGGATCTATTGGCCATTATACTCGCCAAATTACCAATAAAGATTTTCACAACTTTTAAAATTGTTTGTAAGCAATGGGAATCGATCGTGAGTCTCCATATTTCCGTGACTTGTTTCGGTCTATGCACCAAAACTCACATACGTCATCATGGTCGCTCATGTCTGGGAAAGATGGAGAAGAAGTCGTAGCTCACTACGGATGCAACACTTGGGGACTCGAACAATCTCTAGGCTCTTACATCTCGTCTTTCCTAACCAAGATGTTTGAGACTGAAAAAAACAAATACATTGTATGGGCTTACAACGACGTCGGATTGATTTTGATCAGTGAACTCCCTATCTGGGTGACGAACCGATCATTGTACGTGGCTAATCCAGTTTCACAGGAATGCGTAGAGATCCCGTCTCATGCTCATCTCAAGGAAGTCTCCTGTCCCTTGGGAATTGCCACACGAACTGAGAATGGCATTCTTTTGGATTACAGAGTTGTTCTGTTTGACGAGGACTTGAGATTGCTGATATATTCATCACATACAGGCTTGTGGAGTCTCAACACTGTGGATTCTTATCCTTTAGCTTTGTATACACAATCTCCCATTAGCTTGCACGGGAGTATTCATTGGATCGCCAGCACTAGTCACAGTGTAGATGTTGTTGTATCCATCGATTTATACGCCACTGGTACGAGCTCTGTTCAATGCCGTGTGACTTCTTTCCCTGATTTCGGACAACATCCCAAATTCAATAGATCTTTCTCAACTTGTCAAGGATCTCTCATGTATATGAACATAATCAAAGTTGATGAGGATAAGCTATGTGTATGGAGGCTAAATAGCGGAGAATGGCAACTTGTATCTGAAATCACCCCTCCTTTTATTGATACCGGTTTCGAGTACATTCAGTTGGGAACAAACCCTTTTGATGCCAAAACAGTCTACTTTTGGAGCATGAAGCACCAAACTTTGCTTTCTATTAACTTACACAATGGAAAGTTTGTGTTTGAGACCAAGTTGCTTTCTAGCATCAACCCAGGATTATTTTTTCACTCGGTTGTTCTCCCACAATGGCTGTATCGAATTCCCAACACGATGAGGATTGTTTAGACATAATATCTGCTTTACTTCACTTGTTTCTTTGAGTATGTTTTTTATTTTTTATAACTCTTAGTTCTTTACGTAAGAGTAAGGAGTTTGGTTTATTTCCAGTACTTTTGTTTTTTTTCTCAATAAGAGAGAAGAATTATGTGTCAACAACTTTGAAGTTTTTCTCTACAGTTAAGTTTCTAATTTTGTTCAGAAAGGTACAAATCAGATATCACGATTCCTTGTTAACTTACACAAGTAACCATACATCAACCAAATCTCAAGTGTTATAAGATTTATCAAAGCCCTTGAGAATATGATTGCAACTTTGCAAGACAAGGTCATTGTTCTCAAGAAACGACCCAAATAATGCGAGAACCCAAACTGAATGCTCTTCCATAGATAAAAAGGATGATTGGGGTCAAATTAAGTTACCTGGCTTATGCGAGGTCTGCGGCGAGCTGAATGGCGAACGCAAGCTGCAGCACAAGCAACCATGCGAGCCATCTCCTCTCTTTCATACTCATTACCCATCTTTGATTCAGCCAAACCCTGAAAACTCCTTCCTCAGATGCTCGGTTAAGCAAGGCGGTGCCTGTTCCACCATCAATCACACATAGCTTATGCTTCACTCAATAGTTAAATTGTAAAATATCATAAGTTTAGATTATCTGCAGTCACAATAAGTGCCTAGTCAACTAAGCCGCCATCTACATAGACATTGTTTGCATCAACAGGGCGCCTCCCGATTATTACAACACAAAATGAGAAAACTGTGAGTTTTCCGCTTGCAGTGTATTTTGGAGCCAAATACCTAAAATTCCAAAACCAAAAGTTTCAGAATTTGAATAATGACAAGGATCACATACATTAAGCAAACTTTATAAATATACATAACTAGTAGATTCAGTATGGTCTTTACCCACAGGTTCCCATCACGGGTGTAGATACTGTTGAAATGTTAAGAGAAGGAAAAAATAGAGTTGGACGAGAGATGGAGAAAAACTGTTTTATTTACTCGACAAGTTTACATTAGGACAACACTTGCACTTATATAGTTTTCTACATAACAAAACCGTAAATAACTGTTCGTAACAGTTGTGTCTTATCCAACAAGTCACAACTCTTACACACATGACACTGACACACCCTTTCGTAACATTTAATCATGGACTCAATTTCGAACAGATACACGAGTGTTTGAATTAGAAGCAATCTTGGCAAGACCAAAACCAGCAACCTGAAAGATAAAAGAAGAGCTTCAGTGACAAATTACAAAAACACTTCATAAATATTTTGTTAATGGATTGTTGTTTGTGGGTTGGGCGTTAGAGATTTTGAATGGGCTTATATCCGAAAATAGCCCATTAGACACTTATTTATCAAAATTGCATACCTTTTAACAAAAAAAAAAAATTATATCTAATAAAGATTTTGTCAAACCTTAGCTTCAAACTTGAAATCTATAAGTATATTTGCTGCCTTAATGGTGAATGATTTACGGCTTGCGTGCAAATATTTATATATATACCTCATAAACAAACAAAGACTATATTATATAAAACATCTATAAACATTTCAGTTCTTAGAATTACAGTCTTCATGAAAATATGGAAGTGTTAGAAACAAAGATGATAGAAGAGAGGTGTGATACCACAGTATTATTATAACAGATGTGTCGAACATAGATTTTAAACAGAGAAAAAAACACTTTTTCTGAATGATAATTTACTCTGTTGTAACTTTTTCATGTCTCTAATGATTTCTCACAAATGAGACTACATTAATATATAGAAATAAAACGTAACTCCACCCATTAAACCACATGGACTCATTTATCTCCTACAATTAAACATAAAATTGAAAGCCCCAAATTAATATGAAAACCAAAACTGACAAATATGCATTTAACACACTTAACTCCCATGTTTACTCATGTTTGAATCCGTTTTCCACACTCTCCCTTGATTCAAACTTGCATACTCCAAGCTTACTCTTGAAGAAATCAAAATTTTTCTTCAACAATATCTTTGTCAGAACATCAATACTCTACTCGTTTGTGCTACAATACTCCAAGACAACTTAACCTTCAGTCACTAGGTCTCTAACGACTCTGTTTTACCACATACCAAATCTGTTGTACCCACAATACAACTCAAGAACCTTTTTTTGCTTGAACCACAATACCTTCAGGCTAGTCAACATAAACGTAAACTTAATCCTTGCCACTGGAGAGAATATTTTTCATACAAACAATTCGGTCAACTTATTTAAATCTATTTACAACTCTACTTTACAACTAAAAATGTGTTTTACATTCAATCATATTTTACTCTTGAAATATGTTTTTTATCACTACCTGCAATATGTATCCATGAACACATTAAGCTTATTTTCACTTTTGCATAGTTTCTTTAACCACTAAATTTTTGGACTCATAAAATATTCCGAATGAAAAATAGATCATGTAGCAATAATCTTTTGATGTATTTATAAGAAAACTAAAATAGATTAAAAAAATCGATTTGAATAGAATGCATCTATGACCAATCGATAAAGGTTGAAAAATTAATAGAAACTAATTTGACCTAATTAAAAAAAATTATAAACACAATGATAGACGAGTCATAGATAATTCAAAGATGAAAATAGAAATTAAAATAAACAATCTAAAAATATACCATTAAATTATAAATATTAGAAAAAGAAAAAGCATATATTGATCTTACCTAGTAACTGAAAAAGGAAATTCAAAATCAACATAAAAATTTATTTTAAATGAACACATATTTTTTATTAGAAAATCAAATTGGAATATATAATGTAAAATTTAAATTTAATCATGACACATGTAGCAATCTAAAATTATTAGTACGATGATATATGATAAATTTTATATAACTAAAATATGAAAGTAAAAATCAAAATAAAAAAATCTAGAAAACACAAATTAATTTTAAATAAAATAGATACTTATAACAAAATGAAACACAAATCTTTGATTATTCAAGGCATGTAAGATCATGTTGATTACTAACTTTGAAATATCATACATTATATATGAAGATTTTTTTTACTTTACATATTTTTATTTTTATGTTCAATTTCATTTTAATATATGGGTTCTCTTAATATATTTTTAAAAAAGTAATTTTAATTATTTTTTTACATTTTGCCTTCCTAATATGTTTTTCCATTTTAATAAATTTTTATTAAATTATATAAATTTAAATTATATACTTTAATACATATGTTTTGTTTATGTTAAAGATCTGTAGGTTTCATTTTTGTGTTAGTATGTGTCAAAATCTAATTGAGAGAAGTTTTTTACATGTATCAAAATCTCATTACATGTAAACAAATCTCATCAATTTACTGACACATATAGCAATCATGTTAAATAATTACTAACTTTTAAACATCAACAATTATATAGTAAGATAATATTCTTTAATTTTATTTTTGTGTATACTTTTCTTTATTAATACTATATATTTTAAGGATTAGTTATTTACTATATATCTTATCATATATACCTTTTTGTCAATTTTATATAACTTTTTAATAAAAGTAATTATAATCCTTTCATTTTTAGGATTTCTAATTTATTGTATGATTTTCTTTTTAATTTAAATAAGATTTTCTTTTACACATGTCAAAATTTTATCAATACTGAAGTTGTGTCACGATCTTATGAGTTACTAACTTTAAAAACTAAACTTTATATAATTAGAAATTTCTTATTTTCTTCAATAATTTAACTTTTATTTAGTGTTTCCCAATTCAAAACCCAATTAACTCATCTTGACCCGAGAACCCGATTCATTCCCTTATAAAAGAGTAAATCCCAATCCTACTGAAACAGAGAGATAAGAAGGTATGAATTCCTTACCAGAGGATATATTGGCAATTATATTCGCCAAATTACCAATAAAGATTTTCACAACTTTCAAACTTGTTTGCAAGCAATGGGAATCGATCGTGGAGTCTCCATATTTCCGTGACTTGTTTCTGTCTATGCACCAAACGTCGCATTCTTCATCATGGTCTCTCTTGTCTTGCTGTTTTGATAAAGAAGTCATAGCTAACTACGAATGCAACACTTGGGGACTCGAACGATCTCTCGGCTCTTACATCTCTTCTTTCGTAACCAAGAAGTTTGAGACTTTGAGAAACAAATACAAAGTATGGGCTCACAGTACTGATGTTGGATTAATTTTGATCAGTGAATTATTTTTCAACATGAAGAACCGATCCTTGTACGTGGCTAATCCAGTTTCACAAGAATGCGTAGAAATCCCTTCTCATCATGCTCATCGTAGTGAATATTTCTATCCCTTGGGAATTGCCACACGAAGTGAGAATGGCTTTCTTTTGGATTACAAAGTTGTTTTGTTTGATACGCACAAAAGCTTGCTGATATATTCATCTAAGACAGGCTTGTGGAGTCTCAACACTGTCGATTTGTCTGTGTCGTGTATTGATTTACGATCTACCATTTGCTTGCACGGCAGTATTCACTTGATCGCCACCACTAGTCACGGTGAAGATGTTGTCGTATCCTTCAATTTATACGCCACTGGTACGAGTTCTGTTCAATGCCGTGTGACTTCTTTCCCAGATTTCGGACAACATCGGCCGAATAGATCTTTCTCAACTTGGCAAGGATCTATCATGTATATGAACATAATCTCTGTAACTAAAGATGATGGAAGTCTAGAGGATAAGCTATTTGTATGGAGGCTAGAGAACGGAGAATGGCAACTAGTATTTGAAATCGCCACTCCTTTTATTGAAACTCGTGTCGAGTATTTTCCGTTGGCGATTAACCCTTTTGATGCTAAAACAGTCTACTTTTGGAGCAAGAAGCACCGAAGTTTTATTTCTATTAACTTGAACAATGGAAAGTTTGTGCTCGAGAGTAAGTTGGAAGATAACATCACCCGAGGATTATACCTTCGCTTGGTCGTTCTCCCACAATGGCTGCATCGAATTCCCAACACAGTGAGAATGGTTTAGACATAATTCTTGCATGACTTCGCATAAGGTTTTATTATTATTTTCTAGTATTTTTGGTTGTTCTAAGTAAGAGAGAAGAATCTGATTTCATCACTTTGTTCTCAACATCAACATTAATCAGGAATTATGAATTGAACAAAAGGCCAATCTGTTTAAGAACACCACAAAAACTGTCAACAAATCGTGAACAAATTTGATTCCATTAAACAACGGGAAAATTGGATATAAAGAATAAATAATTAAATTATTGTCTATCTATGCATTCTATATTCCTAATTGATCATATATGTTTTAATATTGGTCATATATGCTTTGATATAATTAAAATCCTATTTTATCCCTAGGTTTTTTTTTTTAAATCTTGTTAAACTATAAAATTCCAAAATTAAGTAGATTTCTTTCTAAAAATGATTTGGAGAAAATATAGGACAAAAATAACATTTGATTACTTTCTAATTTTTTTTTTATCGTAGATAATTCTATATCTTCTTCCACTCTAATTCTTTTTTTACGGCATCTTCTTCTTTGATTTTTTTTACGGCAACTTCTTCTTCGATTTTTTCTTTTGGGACTGTCCATGGATATGTTGGACGATGTCAACATATACATACACGTCAAAGCCTTTAGTTGATCTATGGGATCTGCTCCTTTATTGATTGACCGAATGGCAATGTTTGAACCTCCATAGCTAGATTCTAATATAATAAAAATTGAGTGAGAAACAGACACACATTGATTTATGCAACTTTTTTATTTGTCAATTTACTTTTATGTTAGTCACTTTCAAATATTACGCCTATAGTAAGTAAAACTTTTCCACAAATGTGGTACTTTGTTAGTTTATAATTGAGTTTGGTCATATTACGTATTTTATATTTTGTATTTGTCAATTTACTTTTATGTTAGTCAAATTTCACTCATATTACGTATTTTCCATGAAAAAGTTGTGTAATTTCGTAATCTTAATTTTTTATATTTGATTTCCTTATTTTATAATTTATTTTCCTTTAAAAAAAAAAAATCTAAATTACATAGAATTTGATTTCTATTTGTAATAGAATATATAGAAAAATATAAGAATGTGTTTTCTAATAATTATAGAACATGGGTAAATGTTAGAAAAATATATTCTAATATTTTTAGAAGAAAGAGCAAAGTATAGAATATGTATTCTAAATTTCGTAGAAATTAACATTCTAAATACCGTAGAATAGAAATGCGTTCTAAATTTTCTAGAACATGTAGAATGCATAGAATACATTATCTAAATTTTATAGAACATGTACAATGTATAGAATACACATTCTAAATTCAGAAGGCGTAGTCTAAACTTCGTAGATCATATTTTATTCATCCAAAACAGTAACAAAAACGATATATTTTCGATTTTATAAGTATCCTCATGACTTCTTTATCATTTTTCTACAAACTGTTCTGATTTTTATTTGAAAAATTGGTTAAATCAATTACAAAGGGTAGATTAGGAATATGTGATATTTGAATATAGAATGCATAGATGGACAATAGTTTAATTATTTGTCTTTTATATCCAATTTTTCCTTAAACAAATGCTTTCATCTAAACTTTTCTACTTCTCCTGACCTTGCATAAATTTTCTTCTTAACTTCTTCCAAACGGAAAAAATAAATATTTTCAAATTTCAAAATAAAGATAACATGTTTAAAATTGAAGCAAAGTATTGGAAAAAGTTAAAGCGAATGTGTTTCAATTTCAGAATCACGAAAGCAGTAATCACGAAAGCGAATGTTTTTCAATTTCAGAATCATGCTTACTTATGTTTTAAAACTGTGTATACAGACAATATTAATGGAGTAATATCACTGTCTTCACTTTAATACAAGAATCCTTTCATTGTCGCATAAACAATGCAAATCTCTGAGCTGAGAAGAAGAACCTTATAATAAACGTTGTTGGAGAAATAGATTACGTTATTCATTTGTTTTAAAAAATTGCAATCCCACGTTGGTAACGGAATTATGTACTTCTCTTAAATTAATATTATGAATCTTTTTTTTTGTAATAACTTAGAGGATCTAAGCCTAGACATGTAGGCATGACAAAAATCTAAACGTAACCGTATTTTGGACTGTAACTCGACTGTTTTAAACCGTAACCAAATCGTAACCGTATAAAACTGTTTAAAACCGTAACCGTTAATCGTAAAAATATATTAGCTACGGTTAAAAAATACATTAACCGTAACCGTTAATTAACCGTGACTGTATCAAAACTATTAGTTAACCGCATAGTTAACCGTATAGTTAAAACTTAAAACGTTACAAATATAATTGTAACTGTATATTATTAAAAAGATCGTAACGAAGGTTTGGATAAAGATTTTTTACCGAACATGAAAAAATCTACATGAAAGAAAAATAATATTTTTCTCAAACAACTATATTGTAATGTTACATTGCTTGAAATAAAGAAAATTTGATCTACAATATACTTTTTTCATCTATTAAAAACAGTATAAAAGGTCGAATAATATGTAAAATTTGGCCTCCAATATTAACCATATCGTAATCATCAAACAACTATAACCGTAACCGGTTTAACCGTATATAAAGTAGTTAAGGTTACGGTTAAATAAAGTTTATAACCGTAACCGTTGGTTAATAAACCGTAACCGTGGTTATACCTGTAGACATGTACATCCTCTATGGCCGGGAAACCAGAGCATTTGATATGGTTCTCTTCCAAGTGCCAGTCGTCGAACCAACGATATCTAAGTTTGGCATGAGATACTTTACTAGTTGAACTATTGGCATTTGGTAATATCATGAAATTGTAATATTTCGCAACAAAATTATTTACAAGGACAAAGAGAAAAAAGAGTTTTCTTTTCTTATTATGTTATATAATATTTAGTATTTACATTTACTATCAATCTATGTTTGTAGTAAACCCTAATCCCTTCTAACACCAAAAATAGGAGAAAAGATGAAGATGGATTCCTTCACATAGGATCTATGGGCGATTATACTTGCAAGATTACCACTTATAACCATGAACACTTCAAATCTGTCTTCAAGCGATGGAAATCAGTGGTCAAGTTTTATTTCACAAGCTTTTCATGTCTCATCATCAAAACTCGCATCTTCACGGTCTCTATTGTGCAAAGACACACCTAAGAAGTAGTGGCTCAGTACGGTTGCGAGGCTTGGGGTCTACGGACTTCCATGATATCTTGGCTCTTACGTCTCCTCTCTCATAACGGCAAAATTTGACACCAAGAAAAAAAGTTAGAGTGCTTACACTGACGTAGGATTAATTTTGATCGATGTGACGTTAATCCCTCTGACTCGAACTTATTACGTGGCTAATCCGGTTTCACGACAATGCATCAAAATGCCTCCTTTTTCTGCATCTCTTCTAGCTAATGAATTAGAGAGAGTTCTCGTTCATGGAACACTCGCCACACGAACCGAAAACGGTGTCGGTTTAGGTTCCAAAGTTGTTCTGGCTCAATATGGAAAGCAAAATGTTTTGGTTATTTAAATTGTGAAGAGATGCAAAAAAATAAAACAAGTTTTTCCAAACTTTATTTCACGAAATACGGGATAGAGGTACATATCAACCAATCCGCTCGGATGGTACCTTTTACATAACATAAAAAAAAATTTAAAAAAAAAAGAAAAAAAAAAAAGGTACAATGGGATGATATAAAAACACATAAAATATGGGTTTTAAACAACAAACATCATTAAAGTAACGGATTAATGATAGGTCTCAGATTATAAAACTCCAATCCAAATTGTAACAGAGAATAACACTTTTCTTTGGGCAATTAACATTGCCTCTTTTTGGCTTTTTCATTTCTTAAATAACAAAGAGATGGAGTTATCACTCCTACAAACTGGGAATAGAAAATGGGAGAGTTGGTTCCTCAACATAAGGAAACCACGACTCTCGTTATTGACTCAACAAAAGCAAAGACTTATTCAAACATAAAACAAACCAACTCAATTCAAATACTTCCGGTTTGGTACACGCATCCGGTTTGACGTTCTGCGTACCGGTTCCTCCTCACCTACAACTCCATCAATTAATGTTATGCAGAACGGTTGATCTTCTGCAGAACTTGAAGTCTCGCCTTTGCAATCAATTTGCTATGATTTTCCACACTTTCACCAACCTCCTTGATTTTCTCGGTTAATTTCTCTACTCTCTCACTGATTAGTTTTAGGACAATTCTCGTGTCGGCCTCATCTTCTTCATTCTCAATAGCATTATCTACAAGTTTCATCATATTGTGGATACGGCCTTCTAGCCCTTCAACCAAAATAGATACGGTCTCCGCTGCTTCTTCGTTGGTTTTGATACCCTTCTCCACCGATGATTCTATACCTTCCACTTTCTTCAGACCTTCCAACTGTGTCTTCAGAGCATCCTTCTTATTATCCAAGGCAGTGTAGACGCCAGCCCATCCGACCGCAAGCAGTGTTGTCGATAGAGACCCAAAGGCCACAACCGCACCCGCCCCTGTCGCAATTAGAGCTATCGATGTGACCGCAACAACGGCAAACGCAGCGCCGAAAAGAAGATTCGTTATAAAACTCTCTTTCTCCTTTTTAGTAATTTCCCCATGAACCCTTTTTTTAGCCTCACACACTTCCTCAAAAAGGGATTCCTGCTGCTCTTTGATCAACTTGAACTGAGTCGTGAGCAGTTGGCCATCAAATGATGTCTTTAAACTTCTTCAGATCCTTCATTGTTTTTTCATACTTCTTCTTTTTTCCACCGACATCCTTTTCTGCTAACTCTTTCTCAAACTCGTGCAACGCCTCTCGAATGAGAAGTTGGCCCATTTCTGCTTTCTCGACGCAATTCTCTATAGTATTGAAAATCTTTAAAGTCTTCTTGGTACTTTCGAAATAGGCCTCGACCAAAGACTTTAGAGCTTTGTTCTCCCACACATCGTCTTCCACTTTAGTAGTGAAGTTTGCCACACCTTTGGTAACTTCAAGTAGGTGCTGGGAGACCTCTATGTGTACTGCCTGTTGGGGCGACAACCCAGTCTCGGCTCCAGCGGTGAGCGAGTCTATCACTTTGGTGGTTTGCTGCTGAAGCGAAGAATCAAAGGATTTTAGGTCTGGCTGGTGTTCACAAGCGGATTTGTAAGCACTCAGGAGTTCTGAGGATTTCAACATCATATCTTTGGATAATGCCATCGATGATATACTGAAAGGAAAAAACTCGAGAAAAGGTAGAGAGGTTTAGGACAGAGTTTTGCATACACCGAGCTTCCCAAATCAGAGATTTCTAATTTTTTACTTAGTCATTCATAGAATATTGATTATAGATAAAAAGATACAGTTACTTGTAAAAAGTCTATGAAGGAAAAGAAAATTATGATAATAAATAGAAAATAGGAACAAAATAAAAATAAAAGAAAATAAAAAATAATTCTGTATAAAATATATATATGAGCGAATTCGTATTTTACGTAAGAAGATAAAAATGAGCTAGAGTTGAAGAGAGAAAATTACCAGAAATTGGATCAGGATACAGGAGGATATATTATAGGTTTGAAGTTTGAATGATTTGATTAGGTTAGTGATTTACAAGTATTTATAGGAGAACGTGGGAGATGCGTATGTTGGCTAGTTGCAACTATAACCTCAAATAAATGTCTATATATCCCATAATAAATAATCGGTCAACCTTGTAAGTTGTAAATGAGAGGCCAAATTGTTTTTTAGAATATTAATCCAAAATACCATATTAAAAGAATGAAAGATTATGCAATGAGATTGTCTTGATATAACTCCAATTAGTATGAAAAAAATGTGGGTAGCGATGAAGAACAAATATATCGAGATCGCCAGAGCAAATGATACCATACTACGCACCGGTATAGTTTTCATAGGGTTTTTGCTTGAAAGCCCTATAATTAAGACCCAAGTCTAGGTTCAAAAAAGTTGGACTCGGAGAAGTGGATTTGAGATGCATGTTTGTTGTTTGACGAGCATGTTCAAAGGTTATATATATATACATACTAGGAATAAAATGCATTTGTACAATTTATATGACTGAAACTGTAGCTTTTGGAGTGTCTATAAGTCATCAAGTAATTCATGGAATTGGAATTCCCTCCTGCAACTACGGCCTTTTAGCTGAAAATTCCCTGAAAAGACGTGGGGAATGAGAGAATCACATGTTTTCTCTTCTTCCGCAACTTGGAATTTTCTCAAACATAGACAAGAGGAGAAGGAGTGGACGAAATCAGTGTGGTTTAAAGGTGATGTTCCAAAACATGCCTTTAACATGTATGTGGTCCATTTGAATAGACTGCCAAAAAGAGAGAGATTGTTCTCATGCGACTTAAACTTATCAAGTGCATCTTGTCTGTGTTATTCATATGTGGAGTCAAGGGACCATTTGTTCCTAACTTGTGCTTTTGCCTCTGAAATATGGTGTCATGTTCTTTAATAATTAGATCGGCATCAAGGTTTGTTCTGCTCATGGTCAGAGCTCCTTTTACTTGGATTATAATTCACTCCCAAATACCCCAAGCATCACTCTTCCATCTATAGAAACTATGGAAACAAAGGAACATTTTCCTCCACAGCCAACAATTGTTATCACACACAATTTTCAAGATGATTGATCGAGATATAAAAAACAGTTTAGCAAGCCCATGACCTTATGGTTGCGATGAAACCCACAAAGTTTTCTCCCATAAGTTTTTGACCCCTTGTTTTTTTTGTTTTTTTTCCTAACCAGTCATATGTTTTAGGTTTGTACTATGAAAAACCTGATTATTCATCTTAATGTTATTTACAGTTTACCCAAAAACAAAACATTAGGATATATTTATGACCAGTTACATATGTACAAGTACAACATCTAATTAATAATATTGATTGTTCTATTAAAATGGGCATATTATTTAGCCTTGTAGAATTGTTATATCTCTTAATATTTGCAAATATTCTAGGGAATCTCAAGTTGTTCATATTTAACCTTAAGACAATAACATGATAAAGCGGAGATGAAGATGCTAAATATACGATAATAAATTTAACTTATTTTTGTTAGCAGCAATAAATTTTAGGTTTAACGAACTCATTATAGTCAATATTGACATAAGTCTTTAAATATTGTATGAAAGATTAAATAACCATAATTATTAATGAATGTGTATGTAAGTGTTGACATTCTACACGCATAGACATAAATGTTACATATTAAAAGAAAGCAAGTTACGTTGTAGAAATCCAACAATTTAGAATATGGGTTGGTATGGTCCAATAACACATGGCTCCATGTGCTTTTGTACTTATTTCGATATTTATATGTTAATATATGCTAATTATAAATAGTTGCATGATTATGAAATGATTAAGAGAAGTTGCATGATCAACATATAGTATCTAGTAGTTCCTTAAATTTCATGGCATGAACACACTAAAGAGAATCAGACAATATTTTCTATATCTACAGAAGAACAAGATTTTTTGTTTCTCATTAGATATGCATAGATATAAGCAAGATTAATAGCGTATTTTATTTACATTTAAATATGATTTCTTGAAGTTGATTTTTTTTTGAACCAAAACTTCATAAATCCGTTACTTAAAAGGACTCAAAATGTTTTTACTTAATGTCAGTGTTCTAAAAACGGTCTAGACGGTCGTCTTAACCACCTAAAATCACATATTTTTTTTTGTTTTAGTGTATTCGTTTTGAAATTTCAATTAATTTTTATCACTATATACATAGTTGTAAACGTTTATATTGTTTAATATAAATTATATAAATATTTTATGACAAAAAAAATTATAGAAATATTTTGTCTAACTGTTTTTACGATTTAGTACTTTTATTTTTCTAATCACAATTTCCATTATTTCATAGACAGATTCGGTGGCATTAACCAAAATTGTAAAGAGATATGAAAAAAATCAGTTCCTGACTAAAACTACAAAATTATTGATGAAAAGATGATTCCTTTGCAGAATTCATGCATGAATAATGTAGAACTTTAATTAACCAAATATATTTTGAAAATGTCATTTTCCGTTTTTTTTTATATATCAAAAAATAATTTATTTTCTAGTTATTCATTTTCAAAATGTCTTCTTTAATCAGATGATTTTATAAAAATTTATAAGGTTACTAAAGTACTTATTAATGGTAACTACTACTCTGAAACACGATCCAAGTATTTATAAAGTATTTATTAACATGGTTTTAAATGTATTATAAAGTTTTACAAGTTATTTATAAACTTTTACAAGTTATCTACAAGTTATTTATAAGGTATTTATAAAATTTTACAAAAATTCTTGTTCTTGTGTGGTTATAGAAATATGGTTCGATTCTTTCCAATGTGTTCATGCCATGAAGTAGAAGGAACTACTAGATAAATGTATATTACTCATGCAACTAGATGTCAGTCATGCATAATCATGCAACTAGATGTTAGTCATGCATAATCATGCAACTATTTATGATTAACATATATAAATATATAGATATCAAAATAAAGTAGAAAATCACATGGAGCCATGTGTTCTTTGGACCATCATCAACCCATATTTTACAAAGAACTTTTTACAAAACATACATAATATTTGTTTCTTTTTTATAGCTTTGCAAAGTAAAATACAGTTCTTATACAATAGTCACATGAACATTTTTTTTGACAACAATACCCATGTTAAAAAGTATCTTAATTTGGTTTCTCTCCCAAATATTACATATCCTCTCTATATCAAAAAAGGCTCTTTATTCAAATGTATCAGACTCACAATTATTCGTAACTTTTAAGGTAATTTGGCAGAAGTACCACATTCTACCAAAACATTTCCAATTTTATCACATTTAGAAACTTTTTTCCGTTTATACCACATTCGCATTGTAGTGTGATATTTGGTGGACGATTTTACCCTTGATGTTGATGAACTGTTGGGTCACAAAAAAGGGACATTGCAAAGTTTGTGTCATATAAAGGGACAAAAGTAATGATGGAAAGAAAGTGAACCATGGCATTAATTGCAGACAATGATGGTTTATTTTTAAAAAATATAAATTATATTTGTAATTTCAGATCTGAAAACTGAGAATAATATAAAAATCCAATTCGATTTGTTGGTAGACAAAATTGAATTCTTTAGATCTTTCTAGGTCTTCAACGAGATCCAACAAATACTCAAGGACATATGAAGAAAAAATTAAATTAAACTCGGGGACAAGTTCAGATCGAATGAGTAATAGAATCTGATCGATGACAAGATCATATCGAATGAATAATAAAATTAGATTAAGGACAAGTTCAGATCGAATAATTAACAGAATTTGAACGGGGACAAGTTCATATCCTCTCTTAAATTAATATTTTGATTTTTTTTTTTTAATAACTAAGAGGTTTTAGGCCTAAACATGTATATTCTTTCTGGCCAGAGAACAGAGCATTGGTTATCTTCCAGGTGCCACTCGAACCAGCGATATCTAGGTTTTGCATGAGATACTTTACTTGTTGAACTATTGGCATTTGGTAATATCATGAAACTTAATATTTCGTAACAAAATTATTTACAAGGACAAGGGGAAAAAAGAGTTTTCTTTTCTTATAGTATGTTATATAGTATTTAGTATTTCCATTAACAACCAGTCTGTGTTTATAGTAAACCCTAATCCCATCTAAAACCAAAAATCGGAGAAAAGATGAAGAATTGAAGATCGATGGATTCCTTCACATAGGATCTATGGGCGATTATACTTGCAAGATTACCACTTAAAACCATGAACCCTTCAAATCTGTCTTCAGGTGATGGAAATCAGTCGTCAAGTCTTATTTTTTCCACAAGCTTTTCATGTCTCATCATCAAAACTCGCATCTTCACGGTCTCTATTGTGCAAAGACACACCTAAGAAGTAGTGGCTCAGTACGGTTGCGAGGCTTGGGGTCTACGGATTTCCAAGATATCTATCTTGGCTCTTACGTCTCCTCTCTCATAACGGCAAAATTTGACGTAAGATTAATTTTGATCGATGTGACGTCAATACCTTTGAGTCGAACTTACTACGTGGCTAATCCGGTTTCACGACAATGCATCAATTAATAAATTAGAGAGAGTTCTCGTTCATGGAGCACTAGCCACACGAACCGAAAACGGTGTCGTTTTAGGTTACAAAATTGTTCTGATTGTAGCAAGCTACAATACAACCAAACGTTTTTGGACTTTTTTTTTTTTTTTGATAAGTATGTGAATTTCATAAAAATGAAAGTTTGTAGAAGTTACAAAAGGTTAATACTAAAGATCATCCCTCCCCAAAAAAGTTAAAAACAAGGAAGGATCTCATAAGGAACAGATGAGTAGACAGAACTAGTCATGTTTAAGCCAAATTTGCATTAGGCCTCTGAAATTTTCCGCTTCTTCTTCGCCAATATTGCATCTCGAATTTGACGATCGAGACCCTTGAACAAAACCTGAGCATCCATTGTATATTCATCAGGTACAGGCTGGTGGAATTTTAACACTCTCCATTTTCCTCTCACTATGATTTGCCTGATCATTATCACCGATCCCATTAGCTTGAACGGAAATCTTCACTGGCTCGGCCTCAATCTCGATCATCACGATGTTACTGCATTCTATGAGTTTAATGATTTAGATAAACATTTTTGAGTTATACCTTTCCCCGGAGAAAGAACCGAACTTCAAAAGATCTTGCACAAATTCCGGAGGATATATTCGATTATTTCCACTATCGATAAACCCTTTTGGTATCGATTAACTTGGTGTTCTGCTTCACAGTGAGTTGGAACGTAGAAGAAACGGTCAGACATTGAGTATTATTGAATGCAAGAGAGAGACTTATGGACACAATGGAATGCCTTTCGGATTCATATTTTTTTATGTTTTTTCTCCCGCGTTGGATGTGTAGAATCCCTTGTCCGCCACATTGAGAAGAGTTTATAGATGGTCCTCGGGACTATTTCACTTCCTAGTTTTGAGTGTTTTACTGTAGTTAAGATAGAAAATTATTTATGTTTAGTCGTCATGAGAATAGTGATAAGAGTTAATAACATGTAAGTGTAGATAACACTCCTACGTAATTGCTAGAAATTCACTATATTTGAGGTGTTAAAAGGATACAAAATAGTAATTGCTATACTTGGTAATAGAATTGCTGTTTTCCACTCTTCGAGCTGGAGAATTGGTTGGATCATCATCGTTAATTAAGGGCATTGCTCACAAAGGCAAAAATTTAACTTCTCTAGATCTGTTTCTCTCTCTCTATCTCTATCTCTCCAATTTCACGACAGTTCTCGTCCAAATATTTTTCTTTGGAGTGTTAAAATAAATTTGAAGATTCAAATTTATTTTCAACAAGGAATTTTACTCTTGGTGTAGTTAATTTTGTTTGCATCATTTCAAAGATAGGGATAGGGGTCGAAAGGAAGAAGTGGTTTTATCTGGAAAGCAACATGTTTTGGTTATTTAAATTGTGAAAAGATGCAAAAAAAATACAAGAATTCCAAACTTTATTTCACGAAAATACTGGATAGAGGTACATAATAACCAATCATTTCGGATGGTGAACCTTACAGAACATTAAAAAAAAAAAAAGCAACCAATCCTTTCGGATGGTGAAACTCCGATTCCATCAACCAAACTAGTCCAATGACTAGATAAGCAAATTCGCAATAGGATATCTTCCGTTCGAGAAAGGGATAGAAGACATGAAGGGTGTATGACGACATGGTTTGCATTAAGATAAAGAGCGCTGGGTTTATATTTTAAATGTCTATTAAATTCTTCTAAACAAAGGCTGCACTTGTTGTAAAAACAAAATCTCAAATAAATTTTACATTTTATTCAAAAAAATAGAAAAAGATGCCAAAAAATACAACAAGTTTTTTCAAACTTTATTTCACGAAAATACAGGATAGAGGTACATATCAACCAATCCTCTCGGATGGTGAACCTTACAGAACATTAAAAAACAAAAAAAAAGGTACAATGGGAAATAAAAACACATAAAATATGGGTTTTAAACAACAAACATCGTTAAAGTTTAAACGGATTAACGGTTGATCTTTTGCAGAACGTGAAGTCTCGCCTCTGCAACCAATTTGCTATGATCTTCCACACTTTCACCAACCTCCTTGATTTTCTTTGTTAATTTCTCAACTTTCTCTGGGACTATTTTCATGACAAGTATCGTGGCCCCCTCATCTTCTTCATTCTCAATAGCCTTATCTACAAGCTCCAACATATTTTGGATACGGTCATCTAGCCCGTCGACTAAAATCGATACGGTCTCTGACGCTTCTTCGTTGGTTTTTATACCCTTCTCCACCGTTTTTCCTATCTCTTTTACTTTCTTCAGACTTTCCAACTGTTTATTCAGATTATCAATCTTTTTACCCAAGATAGTGTTGACGACTGGCCATCCCAACGCAACCAGTGGTGCGGCTAGAGCCCCATAGGCCGCAATCGTACCCGGGAATATTACAATTAGAGCTATCGATGCGACGGCAACGACAGCAAACACAGCGCCGAAAACAATATTCGCAATTACATTTCCTTTCTTCAGATTAGTAATTTCCTCCTCAATCTTTTTCATAGTCTGAGTCACTTCCTCCAGAAGGGATTCCTGCTGCTTTTTGATTAACTCGAACTGATTCGTGAGCACTTGGCCATTAAAGGGATCTCCATTGGCTTTAAACTTCTTCAGACGCTCCAAGGTTTTTTCATACTTGTTCTTTTTTCCACCAACATCCTTTTCTGCCGACTCTTTCTCAAACTGTTGCACGGCCTGTTGAATGAGAAGTTGGCCCATTTCTGCTTCATCGACGCAATTCGCTATAGTATTGAAAATCTCTAAAGTCTTCTTGGTATTTTCAAAATAGGCCAAGACCAAATACTTTAGAGCTTGGTTTTCCCACACATCGCCTTCGACTTCAGTAATGAAGTTTGCCACACCTTGGGTAACTTCAACTAGGTGCTGGGAGACCTTCTTGTGTACATCGTGTGGGGACACCGACCCAGTCTCGGTGTCAAAGGTGAGTGAGTCTATCATTTTGTTGGTTTGCTGCTGAAGCGAAGCATCAAAGGATTTGAGTTTTGGGTCTTCTTCACAAGCAGCTTTATAAGCACTCATTTGTTCTGAGCATTTCGACATCAAATCTTCGGATAACGCCATCGATGATATTACTGAAAGGAAAAGAAAAAAAAAAGTTAAGACAGATTTAGGACAGAGTTTTTGCGTACAACAGAGCTTCCTAAATTAGAGAAGTTATAACATCCACTCTTCTTCTATAAAAAGTGATTTTCAAGTTCTTTTAATGCATTTTATTAGTTAATGTTCATAATCAAAAAATTCAGAACGCACCGATTTTGAAAATAATATGATCTAATGAAATTATATTCCTTGATTTTTGTAAAAAATAGTTTTAAGAAATCTATTATCCTTGATAAGGAAACATAATTTTGTAGAAATATTTATATGTTTAATTTTAATATACATATATCATTCTCGATAATAATATTAATTTTTCAATCTTAATTTCCAAAGCTATAAAAAAATTTAGATTTTTTTGTTGATTATGTCACTTATATAATATTAAGTGCAGAGAAAAAAAAAACCCACAGTTACATGTAAAAAAGTCATGAAGAAAAAGAAACTGAAATACGAACAACACATGAAATAATAAAATGATCATAAAACTATGAATAATAAAAAGCAAAATACGAACAACACATGAAATAATAAAATGATCATAAAACTATGAATAATAGAGTACCAGAAACTGAATACGAATCTTGCTCAATACTCTGGCCAATTTATTTTAGGTACGAAGTTTTGAATGATTTTTTAGGTTAGTGTTCTTCAAGTATTTATAGGAGAAACCTGTGTTGGCGAGCTCAAGTTGAGTGATGAGGATTTAGGATAGAACGAAAGAAATGTCGATAACGATTTTTGTTTTATGTGGTTTTTATTTTATTTTTTTGAGTAATATTAAATGGGGAAAGAGAGAAATGAGACAACGAAAATGGGTCTATAGGAAAAACAGATGGCACTTTCTGGAGTTGAAAAAAGAGTTTTGAATTGATGTGGTTGTGTAATGAGTGTGGCTCATGTTTTGGTTTCTTGAAATAAAAATACTTTGTAATATCGTTGCACATATGTTATTTAGTCTGCATGTTAAGAATCTTAAGATAATTGTTGAGAATAACAGAAAATTTATAGCCTTAAAAACCAAGTAAAATACTTTATAGTCTTTCTTTTATTTGGTTTGTCTTAGTTTGAGATTTGCAGAATGGTATTGTAATTGGAAATTAAGTTTGGGAGAGGAGTGGAGTGGCGTTGCCGGTGAAGTGATAAAATTATCAAAGCATGGGAGAATCTAAAATGGACCAATGGGGATTCGGTGTCTTGATTAGATGTTTAAGGTCCGAAGTTGAAGGAAAGTGGATTATGGGGGATCCTATTGAGAAGTTGTCGTATATCCACTTTAACTTCGAATATTTATCGTCTTTGAAAAACTTACATTTTTTTTTTTTTTCTGAAAAAACTGTGTGTTTCTTTTTTTTATAACTCAGAATAAATCCCTAAACCTATGGAAGGGTCCGAAACTAATCCCTGAAAAGAGGATAATCAAAGGATATAATCTCTCCAGTTTTTGAAATGAGCCCATATTCATGTGGCCACATGGAAAATGAGGAACAATTCTATATCTAGAGAGAATCGATCATTGGCCTAGACCAACAGAACAACTCTTCCAATAGACAAGGACAACTCGCCCACGCCCACCACATATGTAGTAAAAATCTGTTTTTTTTTTCAACGTAGTATTTACATCCCTACTATTAAAAAAGAAGTTTCTAACAAAATATGATATTAAACTGGTTTAAATTTTACAATGGAACGAGGTTAAATGTTTGTTTGAGTTTATAAAAAAACAGTTAGGGTTTAGATTTTACAAATTAAACAAAGTTAAATGTCGGTTTGGGGTTTTTTTTTTCAACAACTTAAATTAATATTGGTCAAAAGAGTCATTCATGTGGAATGTTGTTTACAAATATAATTTGATGCGGTTCAATACGAACTCTTCTTGCCAAACTATCCGCTTTAACATTTGCACTACGAGAAACTAAAGATAAAGATAAATTTGAAAATTCTTCCTTGAACAAGATAATTAAGGGCTTAGATTTTGGGTTTAGATTAGGGTTTGGGTTTATAAAAGAGGATTAGGGTTTAGATTTATATGTCGGTTTTGGTTTATAAAAAAATGTTAGGATTTAGATTTTATAATTAAATGATTTTAATTTCTTATATTAGGTTGCATATTATGCTTGTTTAGAATTGTTCTTAAACATTTAGGAATTGGTTGAGAGTCTCTTTTAAAAAAGACCAAAATGATTCCAAATAAGAATGAACAAGAAGTTTAGCTTATCAAACGTTCAAATTTTAAAATCTATTCGGTTAATCTGGTTTTTTAATTGAACCAATAATTTTACCGAATATACACAATATTTTAAATATTTAAACTTTTACAAGGTTTCAAATATTATAAATAATTAAACTTTATAAAAGTTTAAAATAATAATGATAATTAAATTTTGTAGGGTGAACGACCTGTGTCCCCCCACTAAGTTTCATATAGTACCATAACAACACAGATTTCGGGTCTCGTCTCCAGTCCACACAAAATGAAAGTTAAACTCCAGTTTCCCCCTAAATTGAAAGTTTTAGACCTCAGTCTCCATATATTCAAATTTCGTGGTTTATCTTCGGTTTACTGTGCCGAAACCGATGCCAACCGCTTAACCCAGAATAATAAACCAGATTTACCCAGAAACCAACCCGATTAGTTGACCCATTAACCCGATATTATTTCCCTAAATCGTGAAACCCCCAAATCAAACCCTAGAACCCTAAAAACGAAAAATCCCCAAATTGAACCTTAGAACCCTAGAATAAAAAAATCCCCAAATTGATGGATTCGAATGATCTTGATACGAATGCTCTCATCGTTCATGAGGAGGCTACTGGAGTTGGTCCGCAAGAGGAAGGAGATCCAGGAGACAATGGACCTGATAATGTACCCGACGATGAAGACCCAAGGGAGCGAGATGCTTTTGAAATCGAGAAGATTGTAATGGAGTTTAGAGACGAACCTTCGATTCTACATGATGAGTATCCAGACAGTGAGGAAGATGAAGAAGACGAAGCTGCTAGGGAGAGAAAACGAGACAACATTAGAGGCGGAGGTGGGGATTTGTACTATCACCAGACATTCTTCAGCGACATTGCTTTTAAAGAAGCTGTTCTCGACCATGCTTTGAAGACAGGCTGCAACATCGCACAATACAGGTATGATAAAACGAAGCTTGGATTTAAATGTGATGGGGATGGATGTATATGGCGGATATACTGTGCAATCACGAAGAAATGTTCTAAGTGGAGAGTTAACGTGTACAAGGATGTCCACACATGTAATCCGAATGGAGATTGTGAGATGTTGAAGGTTCCTGTTATTGCTAGGTTGTTTCTAGATAGTATTAGAGATGAACCCGAATATTTTCTGCCTATGAAGATTGAAGAAACCATTAAAAGGAAATGGAAGATCACAGTTTCCAGGCCTCAATGTCAAGCTGCAAGGAGAAAAGCATTGAGATGGATAGAAGAGGAAAATGATAATCAGTTTGCTAGGCTTCAAGACTATGCTGAAGAGATAAGAGACTCCAACAAAGATTCAACTGTTGAAGTGCAAACTGTGACAAATGATGCAGGACAAGAGGTATTTAATAGGTTCTATGTCTGTTTTAATGCGATTAAGAGAACATGGAAAGAGACTTGTAGGCCATTGATTGGAGTGGATGGAACTTTTATCAAAGGAAAGGTTAAAGGTCAGCTGCTGGTTGCTTTAGGTAGAAATGCTGATAATGCTATATACCCAATAGCATGGGGGTGTGTTCAAGTAGAAAACATAGAGAATTGGGTGTGGTTTGTGAGGAAGCTGAAAGCTGATTTGGGACTAATGGATGGTGATGGTTACATCATAGTGTCTGATCGTCAAAAGGTAATTAGCTTCAGATTTCTTCACATTTAATCATTTATCTGTTTCATGACATAATAAGCTTCTGATTTCTTTATTTTACAGGGTTTGATCCGAGCAGTTGAACTAGAGCTACCAAAAGTAGAGCATAGAATGTGTGTGAGACACATCTATGGTAATCTGAAGAAGAATCATGGAAAAGATAAAGAGATGAAGAAGTACATTTGGGATGTGGCATGGAGCTACAATGAGAGCAGCTTTGAAGCTCACATGAATGAGCTTTACAACTACAATGCGGCAGTTTGGCGTGATGTTGTCAAGTCAAAACCAAGAACTTGGTGCAGGGCATTCTACAAACAAGGAAACTACTGTGAAGATGTAGAGAATAATTCAACCGAGTCCTTCAACAACTCCATTGTCAAGGCTAGAGACAAAGCATTTGTGCCAATGCTTGAGACCATTAGGAGACTTGCAATGGTCAGAATCTTCAAGAGATCTGTGGAGTCTAGTGACCATAATGGGAGATGCACGCCATATGTTGGTAAGTTTCTTGCCAAGGAACACAAGAAAGCTTCAGAGATGAATATAAGAAGAAGCACCAATGACATGTATGAAGCTACCAGAGGATTAGATACTCATAGGATAAGCTTGACTGAGAGGACTTGCACTTGTCAGAAATGGCAAATCTGTGGCATTCCTTGTGAGCATGCTTATGGAGTCATCTTAGAGAAGAAGCTTGAGGTTGAAGACTATGTGTGTCACTGGTTTCGGACAGCTATGTGGCAGAAGAACTACAAGGACGGCCTATTTCCACAGAGAGGACCTGCGTTTTGGCCATCAACAGAGCATCCTAATGTGCATGTACCGCCACCACCACCTACACCTGGGAGGAAAAAAGGAAAAGAGAGTAAAAAGGACAAAAAGAGGAAGAAGGGAAAGAATGAGTCACCTACAAAGATGGCACCTAAGCAGATGAAAAGGGTAATGCACTGTGGTGTTTGTCATGCAGCTGGTCACAACTCCAGGTTTCATAAGAAGAAGAAGAAGTCTTCTGCATTGGTAAGTATGATTACTTATTGGTTCATTTGGTCATAATAGGTTACTGACATGTTTTGCTTCATGCTTTGTCTTAGGCCTTTGAAGGAGTTGGGACTGTAACTCATGGCAGTCAAGTGGAACCGTCTCAAGGAGTGGTGATGTCTCAAGGCTGAAGGATTAGAGTGAAGGATTAGAGTAGTGTAAGATGGCAGCAGGTTTTTTGGTGTACCATCTGATAAGAATTAGAGTAGCTCGGCTTTGTGTTTTTGGTTTCATGACCATGTGTAATGGTACATTGTTATGTCTCTGTCTTTTGGTAGGTTTGTTGTAATACATTGCATTGAACCTACTTATGCATTTAAGCAATCTAATTTGTCTCTGTTATCGAATAGCACATTACCAAACACCAAGAACAAGATCCAAATTGTGTTTTTCATTAGACTAACAAAAGAGAGGTCAAAGGATTACAACAACAACTGACATTACAACAATAACAAGAACATAAAACAACAAGAACATAAAAGGATTAGAAGCACAAACATAAACCAACAATAACAAGCCAATACACTCGTTTCAGCCTATCACTTTACTCAAACCAAGCATGAACATACAACCTACAATGACAACAATCGACATTTTCTTCATGAATGATTTGGATTCCAACAGTTCTGCTTCTACCCTCTCAAAAATCTCTTCCTCTAGCTTCATTTGCATCCTCTCAAAAATCATCTTCTGGTGGTCCATAGTCTCTGATGTAATCTGGGAAATGGTTTGTTCAAGTGCAGCTGTTCTTACAGCCAATCTCTCTATCTCATCTA